TGCTAAACAATGAACTGGTATAAAAAAATGTCCTTTAGGGTCATTTTAGCCTTTCAAAGAGGGAAGGAAAAGGTCACTTAAAGCTGCTTACATTCTCTTTCAAAGATTAAAAACAATTAAAAAACTGATTATAAAATACAAATGAAAAAAAAGTAATAGAATCAATGAATAAAGACATACATGCCATAACGTCCCGGATGCCCGGGATTGTCCCGGAAATCGGATGTCTGTCCCGGAGATGTCCCGGGCATCGATTTGATCCCGGAAAAAAAAATCATGATAATTTGCAAAATTTTCATAAATTTTCTTAAATCAAATCTCGCACATTTCACCTCTAGATCGTAAAACATATTCTGACCTGGTACACATAATACACAGGAATGTTGACACTTACAAGTTTACAATATACAGCCCCCCAATTATCGACTGTCGATTCCCCTCGGCAATAGATTCTTCATGCATCGGCAATTAACATTCTCTGTTGAATTCGGCAGCGTTTAATGGTCGGGTTAATCAATTGTTTACGGCCCTTAACAATTATCGTTAATCCCCGATAATCATTTTATCTCGCTAAATATGTGAAATAAGACCAGTCCTGTTTTGATGTGGGAACAGTCCATTGTTATAGTTAAAAGGATTTTATTATGAAAATACTGATAGTTTTTCGGCCAATAATATAAAGGAAGGTCAGACTGCAGGGATGTAGTAACATAGGTCTGTTGCTTCTTGTGACTACAAATCTTGGGGTTGAAATTATGATCATACACTACTAAACCTGTCTTCTGGATGGAAATTCAAAAACTGAGGAGGTTAAGTGTGATGTAGCTTTACGTCTTGCATGTAAAAGGGCCACATTGCTTATCATGGAATGGAGTAATTTCTGTATCTGTTGCTCCAAATAAATAAATAAAATACCTACTACTGGCTAACAGTCTTCTGGACAGAGTCCCCCATTATTATGATTTGTTTCCAGTAGCAACTATAAATAACCCGACGTCAAATGTTGTTACTTCCTTTTGTTATCAAAGAATGAAGTCTCTTGACTTCCAAGTTACGACACTGTCATGTCAAACTCTTAATATGGTCTCTGTGGACAGATTAGCTGAATAAATATTTCAATTAAAGAGCTTATATTAAATTATATATCACAGTCTATGTAACATCAAAATATCATATATAACATCATGTCAAAATATCATATTGTGATATCATGTCAAAATACATGTGTTATACAATGACATCTTGTTAAAATTTATCCTAACATCATGTAAAAATATCATACCATGACATAATGTCAAAATATCATGCATACCATGACATCATGTCAAAATATCATATCATGACATCATGTCAAAATATCATACCATGACAAAATACCAATAATCATATCATGATACCATATCTTGATTGAAATCATATCAAATATCAATCATAACATCATATATCTACATCATATCAAAATATAATATAACATATTATGACATCATATCATAATATCATAACATAATGTAGAAATATTGTCACATCATATCTACTAACAGCACATATCATATTTCATAACTGTATACATGTACTTGTTTAAAGGCCAAAATGTAAGGTAAATCTTGTCCACCTTTGAATGCAAATTTTAACTTTGCTTATACAAATGCACAAAGTAAATGATTATATGACAGATAATTATAATAACGTTCTATAACATGTGTTACATAATAGCAGGAAAAGAAATTTCAGTAAGTTCTGTCCCTCAGGATATCTGAGTACAGGTTGGGAAGTTGTCATTCCTGCAACAGTTGAAACCTCAAAAAAACAAGATATGTTTGTAAAACATGTATGCCCCCTATCAGCAGCCAATTAGTCATGTGATAAGGTTATTATGCATGACTTCTGACCCAGTGATCAAACAATTAATAAGGGTTATCAAGTATCTACTGGTCATGACCTTAACCTTTGACCCCTTGACCCAAAACTCAATAGGGGTCATCTGCTGGTCACGACCAATCATCATACAAAGTTTGAAGTTCCTAGGCCTAAGCGTTTTTAGTTAATTGATCAGAAACCGTTTTTACCTACAAGGTCAATGTGACCTTGACCTTTGACCCCTTGACCCCAAAATCAATAGGGGTCATCTGCTGGTCATGACCAATCACCATACCAAGTTTGAAGTTCCTAGGCCTAAGGGTTCTTTAGTTATTGATCGGAAACCGTTTTAACATACAAGGTCAATGTGACCTTGACCTTTGACCCCAAAATCAATAGGGGTCATCTGCTGCTCATGACCAATCACCATGCCAAGATTGAAGTTCCTAGGCCGAAGCGTTCTTTAGTTATTGATCAGAAACCGTTTTTACTTACAATGTAAATGTGACCTTGACCTTTGACCCCATGATCCCAAAATCAATAGGGGTAATCTGCTGGTCATGACAAATCACCATACCAAGTTTGAACTTCCTAGGCCTAAGCGTTCTTAAATTATTGATCAGAAACCGTTTTTTACTTACAAGGTCAATGTGACCTTGACCTTTGACCCCTTGACCCAAAACTCAATAGGGGTCATCTGCTGGTCACGACCAATCATCATACAAAGTTTGAAGTTCCTAGGCCTAAGCCTTTTTAGTTAATTGATCGGAAACCGTTTTTACCTACAAGGTCCATGTGACCTTGACCTTTGACCCCTTGACCAAAAAATCAATAGGTCATCTGCTGGTCATGACCAATCACCATACCAAGTTTGAAGTTCCTAGGCCTAAGGGTTCTTAAGTTATTGATTGGAAAGCATTTTTACCTACAAGGTCAATGTGACCTTGCCCTTTGACCCCATAACCCCAATATCAATAGGGGTCATCTGCTGGTCATGACCAATCACCATACCAAGTTTGAAGTTCCTAGGCCTAAGGGTTCTTTAGTTATTGATCGGAAACCGTTTTTACCTAAGAGGTCAATGTGACCTTGACCTTTGAACCCTTTACCCCAAAATCAATAGGGGTCATCTACTGATCATGACCAATCACCATATCAAGTTTGAAGTCCCTAGGCCTAAGGGTTCTTTCGTTATTGATCGGAAACCGTTTTTACCTACAAGGTCAATGTGACCTTGACCTTTGACCCCTTAACCCCAAAATCAATAGGGGTCATCTGCTGGTCATAACCAATCACCATACCAAGTTTGAAGTTCCTAGGCCTAAGGGTTCTTTTGTTATTGATCAGAAACCGTTTTTACCCAAGAGGTCAATGTGACCTTTGACCTTTGACCCCTTGACTCCAATATCAATAGGGGTTATCTACTGATCATGACCAATCACCATACCAAGTTTGAAGTTCCTAGGCCTTTAAGTTCTTTAGTTATTGATTGGAAACCGTTTTTGCTTACAAGGTCAATGTGACCTTGACCTTTGACACCTTGACCCCAAAATTAATAGGGGTCATCTACTGATCATGACCAATCACCATACCAAGTTTGAAGTTCCTAGGCCTTAAAGTTCTTTAGTTATTGATTGGAAACCGTTTTTCCTTACAAGGTCAATGTGACCTTGACCTTTGACCCCTTGACCCCAAAATCAATAGGGGTCATCTACTGATCATGACCAATCACCATACCAAGTTTGAAGTTCCTAGGCCTTAAGGTTCTTTAGTTATTGATCGGAAACCGTTTTTGCTTACAAGGTCAATGTGACCTTGACCTTTGACCCCTTGACCCCAAAATCAATAGGGTTCATCTACTGGTCATGACCAATCACCATACCAAGTTTGAAGTTCCTAGGCCTAAGGGTTCTTTAGTTATCACTCGGAAACCATTTGGTCTACGGACCGACGGACCGACGGACCGACAGACCGACGGACCGACGGACCGACAAGTGCAAAGCAATATACCCCCTTTTCTTCGAAATGGGGGCATAATTATGTATTTATTGTAACATTATAACTATAGAAACTTGAAAAAAATCTGCAAAATTCAATAGCAACTGTTTTAAATACATGTAAACAATTATGAAACATTCTACGATTTAATACTTTCTATACATAATTAATAATATACATACATGTATGTATATTAAACAAACTCATTTCTTTCTGCTAACACAGAATTTTTTAGTAAATTCAGTATAATTTTTGTATTCTTATATAAAAGTTCCTGTTACAAAAATTTGTTCAGTTTTCACATTTACCAAAGTACAATTTTTTAAGAATTATGACCTGAATTAAATCTGGTACCTAGAGGTAGATGTGAAATTTAAAAGTTAAAAGACAAATTTCTTACATATCAGCTGTGGGAAGAACTTTTACGCCATGTAACATATTAACAATGAATTTTGTTGAAAATATTGACAAAAATTCTTCAAGTCTTCAAGGTAGATTTCATGGAAAGACATTATGTTTTTGATGATAAGTAACAACTAAAAAACTAACAATAAATAATTAATATATATTTACAAATTAATGATAACAATTTAAATGAGTACATGTCAACATGGATGAGCAATATGTATTTGTTTTAATTTAAGGCATCTTTTGATTTATCTTTCCCCATGTATGTGGGCTACATCATGATAAAAAGTATTTTGGCTGGCAAAATAACATGGTTTACCCATTTTTTATTGACCTGCATTATAGTAGAACACTAACATTTGCGCGCTTTTTCACTATGTTTGTATAATGCATATGATGTCACATTATTATTGCATTATTACACTAGTGTATTATCGATTTTTTAATGGCTGTATAACATGTATATGCCATAGTTTATGTGATAAGTTTGTTTATCTTTTAAATTTCTTGCAAAGTAAATTTTTATAATTTTTCTAGTAGCTTTCCAGAAAGATTTATTAGAATTACTTGATGTTATTCAAGTTTCAAAGTAAAAAAAAGAGCAACAATCCTTTCTAACGTTGCTAGAACTTTCAACAGTCAATGCTCTACTAGTTAAATGACCTCATATGTCGATAAATAGAAAATTTTTACATTTTATCATGATGTATACCACATACAGCCCATCTGTACATTTGTACACCTTACTTCCCTGGACAATCCTTTAAGTATAATAAATATGACATTTACAATAAACATGATATTGAGGCAACTATTTTTAACCCTCAGGAAACTGAATCATCCCATATGACCAGTGCAGGCCAAGATCAGCTGACACATCCGTGCCTTCCGCACTGTTCATTATTCAGTCAGTACTGTTTATAAAATTTTCCCTACGAATGAAGTTTTTGTGCAGACTGACAGACAAGTCAATTCAAGATATTTTTCATGGTTAAGGGCTAAATAACTAATGTTATATTTAGTAATTTATTTTTCCGAGCAAACCTTATACAAGAAAGTCTATAGTACAAGTAGTGTCTTTAACTTTTGATTATTTTCAGTCATTAGCCAGCTCTCTGCAACACTGGGATGAGTTGCTTAATAAAAATATTAAGTTCCATTTGCATTGCTAAAAAAACCTCATACATATATATATGTAGCAAATTAAATCTTTAGATAATTTCAGTTATCTAGCACTAGAATGAACGGCAAAGTTTAACGATCATAGCACCTTGTGAAATCAATTTCTAAACCCATAAATGAACAGGAAAAAAATCCAATAATTGTCCAAACCAGTAACTAAAACAAAATCAATTGAACAATCACACAAAATATCACAATCAAAGTCTAAATTGTACAGGAAAAATTAAATTTCCGTAGTTGGCAAGCCAGCAAAATTGTCCTCTTTCTTTTCTACGTGGCCATTTTGTACGGCTTCACCGTTCGCCATTTTACGAGCTTGATGCTGCTGGAGAGCTGCGTTTAAAAGCGAATCTCCGTTACCGAGTTTTGATTGTGGTAATTTATTGAGATTGTTATCCTCTGTGTAAAAGTTCATGTTCATTTGTTGTTCACTGTACTGGGATTGTTGGTTTGCATCTACTTGATTATTGTCCAGGGAATCATCATCATCACTGAAAGGGAGATCACTCTAATATCAATATGGATAACTCTTATCACTGAAAGGGAGATCACTCTGAGATTAATATGAATAACTCTTGTATTATCTTCAACATCCACTTAAACAATGTACTTACACATTTCTTACTCAAATTTGGTTGTAAAAAGGATGAATAATTAACAATAAGGAGTACATTTTGTCTCAGATTTAGAAATTCAGAGAAAATGGGCCATAACTCTTCTCAGATAGCCATATTAAAAACAGACATAGTGTAATGATGTCATTTCAAGGTATGAGTTTTTTTTATTTCAATATTGCGATAGAAGGCATTAGATATCTTGTTGGTCAACATTCAACAGGAAAAATATTCATAACCTTCAAACTACTAAATTTTTGTAGCTTTGAAATTGGATCAGTATATTCAGGGTTTTTAATATCAAAACACAAAATCTGAGCCATCAACAGTATAGAGCCTGGTTAGTGCACAGATGTGTAGGCCAGCCTGGTGGCACTGGCCTATCAGTTTCAGTTAAGGTTTAATAGTAAATAGGAAACTTATGTATTAACTGTCAAATTTACTTAATTGTGATTATTAAAATATGGTTGAAAAAATTATCATACACATTTCTAAAACAAAAGTGAAACATTCAGTGATCCATTAAAACAAACATGTGTAAATAACAGTAAATTTAGTGAAATAAACACAAAATGATTGATTTATTATATTTACTCTTACGTTATAAATCTGATGTTCTTGGAAGACTACGTATAGAAAATATATTTTATATTTATCAAGTCATTTATAATACAATATTAAAATTTACAAAAATTTCTCAGCACAAAAGTCAAAATTTTAACAAAAGCTGTTAAATATAACTGAAAATATTTCTCGATTTCCAATTTTGTTTTTCTTGACACTTAAATCCTGTTTTTCTTGACATTTACAACCCTAACATCCCTAGACTTATGTAATGAACTCGTCCTGCTTTGAATTTGGACCAGTCCATTATTATTTTAAGGAGTATCAAGAGTTTACAGAGCAGACGACAGTATATAGCTCAGACTGTGCAGCATTGGGGGCTAGTCTGGTTTTATAACTTGTAACTGGTAACTTGCACTTTCCAGTACCATCCATGAACAGGCTCAATCAAACCAAGCCTGCAACATTTTCAATTTTCCATTTTGGACTTTCTTTAGAGATTCTTGTTTTCTCTATTCTATAATGACTAATGTTACTGGCAAAACATTATTGGTAACATTGTTCCATCCAACAGATTCATGCATGATGGGTTTGTCCATCTTAAAATTTATATCTATAATTTGCTTTTTTTTAGAAATGTAAAGAATTAAGATTGCTAGGATTAAGTAATTTGCAGACAGACTTAATGAAAATGCATGTAGGACTGACATGTGTTTCAATGTCTAAAATATAGCATCTTAAAATACTTTGAAGATTTATGATAAAAAGATTTTATATTACTTACTCTCTTTCACCAGCTTCTTCCAATAGCACTTTTTCTAAGTAGATTGGGTTGGTACTGCAAGATAAAACAAGCACCTTTATAATATATATTCATAGATAAATATCAACTTAGAATTATTTAACTCATGCAGCATGTTTTACTGTTATTGTATCTTTTTCTAAAATCCATCCAACTTGAAATTCACATCATTTGCATAATAATATGTCAGAGGGATTGATATAATGTAACATTTGTATCCCCAGTCAACCACTGCTGTGCAATAGCAGGGTCTCTGACTTTTGAATTTTCATACCCCTATCAATGCCTTAAGTGAAAATTTTTTTTAATGTTAACATTAGCATGTTTTTAGGCTATCGCCCTTTTGCGTATAACACAAATAAAATCACTCTTCCAGTTTTATTTATGGAGGAAGACCTCAGGTGCCCCTTTGTGTATTACTTCAGACACAAACTGGCACACGAGTAGAATCACCAACATTCTGTAAGCTAGCTGGATAGCTTTCTCATATAGAATAATCCCAAGACACTGGCGCAGCTTAAACCTAAAGTGGTGAGAGGCAAGTGGTTTGAAGTCAACCACCTTTACCACTTGGCCACGGATGTACCCCACTATATATACAGGATGATTATCTAATCTGCCATTACAGTAAAAATTCTTGAAACTACTTTCATGACAATTATATAACATTAAATGATATCATAATAAACATCTGAGACTTTGATATAATTTATCACTTAAACAACAAACAAATACAACTTATTATATCAAAACTCATCAGTTAAAGAATAAGATTTATAATTGGAATAAGTCAACTTTCCATTGAACCTTAACTTCTGGAGCTGAAAGTGATTTGCCTAATTGCCACCAATATACAGCTAGACCTAAGCCTGTGCATCCATGCAGTCTGACCAGGGTCCATGGTTATTAATAATTTATCTAAGCTCATACTCAGATCTCATTTATTTGATTGGTAAGAAACTAGCACAGAATGTATATTTACCAATGAAAATCCTGAGATTTGAGACAAAACTCAGACAACATTTTTAAGACTTACTGGTGGTAGCATAATTATTGTATTTTTATATTGAAATCTATTAAAACTTTAACTGAACTCTTCCAAATTCAAAGCTGGACTAATCCATTATACAAATTTGGGCAGGTTAAAGGTTTACAAATATCATAACAAAATAGAGAAATTCATAACAGCACAATAGTTAACATGCTGAAACAAAACCACTTATGTCCTGGAAAAAAAGATAAAAAAAAAGTACATGTAGTGTACTAAATATTATGACTTCATGCTTTTTGTTTAAATATACATAGTACCAAACATTCTTATGATATTTTTTTTGGAATTCACACTAAAATCTACTATTAAGAAACATTATATCATGCAGCGTTTTAAATCATTAACAGTTCAAGCCATTCTTAAGACAAAAAATTTTGGCATTCACATATACTGTATAACAAATATCAAAACAAACAGACAGAGGTGGGGTATAACTTTTGAATAAAAAAGTGTAGCTAGAAGTGTTTTACACCAAGGGGGTTATCTAACATGTTTTTCTTTAGTTCTAAAGGAAATACGGAAATATTGCTATGGAAATATTGCACAGAAAAGTCTGAGAGAAAGTTGTTTTCCTGATTTGACAACAAATGGATTAAAGCCGGGCACCAATTATAAATGTTAGCAGCATTCAAGAACTTAACAATAAACTTAGAGAAAGTTTCATCTACATTAAAATTAATTGTTTATTCAGACTTTATAAAGGCCTAAATTTTTGTGTAACTGCCAAAAAGGAAAACAAAATTAGTTCATTGATGTATTTTCATTTGTGATCATTAGTTTAAAAAAACTCTTAGTAAGGTACATATTTGGAACTAACTTTTTGCTTTTTTTTGTATATTTTTTATATTGTCAACACAATATCTAAAATGTTCAAGCATTTTTCTGAGTATAAGTTTTAAACAGACTATTTTACTCTTTAAAATCCTTTTATAATTTGATTTGAATGTTTAAGTATGAAACTTTCTCAACTGTTTAAACCTTACCTCTAACATCATGATGAACGTGGTCCCCATAAGTGATTTCAGTAACAAAGCTTTGATTGGTAAAAATAACAGCTCAATTTAAATTTATCACTAAAATCTTTATTTTTGAACAAAAAGAAAAGTAAATAAAATTGGGCATTGCTGCTAAAAGAAAAAAAGTCTTTTTTTGAGTGAATCACAATTGAAAGTACTTACCTTTTGACAGTTGTTGATTTGAAACACGTTTGATTTCAAATGTTCCCAAACAAATTGTTTTGTTTCATTTCATTCTTTCATTTCATTTTTGACCAAGGATACGAAAGTATGAAAACTAATGTTTCTCCTAATTTCTAAATAAGCTAAAACAACTTTATGCTCAGAGATTCACTTTATTTCATCTAATCAGATAGTTATATGTACCATGTAAAAGAAATGACCCCCCCCCCTTTTTCTAAAAACACTTCCAGCTAGAACAAAAAAATACCCTAAAATCTTGTCTGTCCCTCGTTAGTGTAAACTCTGTTAACAAACATAGTGAAATGTGACATACACAGAAATATCAAACAATATACATGAGGTCCTCTCAAAATAAATAATTTAACAAGTTATTTAAATAATGTTTATAAACAAATGACTTTGTTGCCAAATGGAAACCATCGTGAAAAGTATCCCCTTAGATCTCATGGAAGATCGTTAAACTGAATGTTTAAGTCTTGTTAAATAAAGGTGTCACTTACTTACTTATTTAATTCAAAATTCAAAATTAACAATGTTCTTGCCGTTTATTTTTAGCTTATAATGACATGGATTTTATTAAATGTATGGTATTCTACATGCATTTTTTCTGTGTTTACAGTAAGATTTGGCACAAAAGACCATAATCATTTAAATAATCAATGTATATTCATTGTACATTTTATATTTAAGAAGAACCAATGACCATTCTACAAATTCTTGAACCATATTTATTCTTTCTTATAATTACAAATCAAAATTTAAATTTATAAAACAATTTCTGTGTTTTGTAAGTAAAAATTGTATGTATGTATATGTTTTCTAGGCTTAATGAAGGTCCATCTGCCCTTTCAGGCACCAAGAGTGCAGACCCTAGACATGTCACAAATTGTTTAGGCTGCCAAGGAGGTCCTAATGCTAGTGGTATTGACCACTTGACCACTCAAAGACTTTATTAAATCATTTCCTACGCCACACTATTTGAGAGGACCATTTAGGGTAAAAGATGTGAAACATTAATACCAGTAGTGAATTTTTATAATAACATAATATACCATTATAAAATACTAGATGATAATAATATCTTATATGAGTTCTAAATATTGAATATTTATAAGCAACTATGAAGCACTTAACAATTTAAGGGTAGTATAGTATTTCCAATACATGACATGTTTTTGATTAACTTTCTTAATGCTTTTCAACTTCAAGAGTTTCCACTTTCCAGCAGCATTATGCTCTATTTTGATTCATCTAAAACTACTTATAATAATAATAAATATGATACAAATGAAACCAGAATCTTACTTTTCATAGGCATGAACATTGGTTCCAGGCAATTCAAGCTTGTGTAAATCTGAGCTAGAACCTGAAAATATACAATATTTAACTTAATATGTGAGTTACAATCTAAAACAATTAAGCATCCTGTAGAAAATGAAAGACAATCCATTTTACAAAGGAAATATGTAATTTGTAGTTATTACCTAATTCAACACTGATTTTTCTCTATGAACTGTGTTGCTTTAATCTATATTGACAATGCATAAAAATTGCAAAAAGAAAACCACAAACCATTCAAGTTTAAATATATTTCCCACAATATTGACATTCCATTGTTAAATATTGATCATTTGAAGTAAAAAGTTAAAGTGCTTAGTACATAACTGGTCGTATAACAGCAGGTAAAGAAAATAAAACAGATGTACTTTCCCTTTGGCAAAAAAAATAAGTAAAGAATAAAAATAAATAAATAAATAAATAAGTAAATAAATAAATAAATAATAGATAAATAAATAAATATATCATAAATAAATAAATAAATAAATAAATAAAAAGAAACCAAAAACATCCATTAACCAATTATTTGTACAATTTCTTCAGTAACTTTTGTCTTTTTTTTCAAATTCTTCGCATTTACATTGTTAAAATTCTTTGCATATTCTACATTATATTTGCTACAAATTATTTCAAAACACAAACTATACTAATTTTTATAATCATTTAAAACATTTACTACAGGATAGTCAATTAACATTACTTTTGGTGTTGAATCAATACTAATCTAAAAATATTTACTACAGCATACAATAATTTTTGGTGTCGAATCAATACTAATTTATAAATAACTACTATAGCATACATGTAGCTTGAACATTTGAGCCGCGTCAAGACAAAAGCAACATAGTGCGTTTGTGACCAGCATGGATCAAGACCAGCCTGCGCATCCGCAAAGTCTGATCAGGATCCATGCTGTTCGCTATCAGTTTCTCTACTTGAAATAGAGTTTGTAAGCGAACAGCATGGATCTTGATCAGACTGTGCGGATGCGCAGGCTGGTCTGGATCCATGTTGGTCGCAAACGCACTATGTTGCTTTTGTCGTGACGCGGCTCATTTATTTTTGGTGTTTAATCAATATACTGATTTAAAAACACTTTTAAATGACTACATCATATACAGTTAACATTTATTTTTGGTGTTTAATCAATACTAATTAAAAAAACATTTACTACAGGATATAAACGTACAGTTAACATTTAACATGGTTTCAACCCAGACACAAGATGTGGATTTTGCACAATGAAACAGATGATGAGACTATTAGGACCTTGAAGAAAGGGTGACTACAAAACAACATGCATCCCACTTATTGTTAAAACATTCTACAGTATAGTAAAACTTGATTTTGAAAACCAGTCTGAAAATGCTGCCTTGCCATTGGTCAGTTTGAAAATTCAAATTATAACCAACCAATCATATACTGAAGAACTCAGACTGGTTTCCAAACTATGTTTTATTAACTTTTTTATCATGGTTTTACTAGAATTTCTATAGTACAAAGCTTATACAGTTCTTTTTAAATTTTAATGAAGCAATTGTTAAGATTTTCTGTTAAAATTTGGTGACAAAATAAAATGAAACAAATGAAACTTAGTAATGTTGTTATCTGAAACCAACATTAAAATCTGTTTTCATTCATTAAAACAGTTAAAGGAAAGTGAATACATATGTACTTATATATAACATATGTAATTTATCACACCAAATTTTACAATTTGCAAAATTTGAAAACTTTTCATTCCTCAATTTTCTGTAAGGAAATATTTGATAAAGGTCATAGCCGATTTTATATAAACTAAGTTTCAATTGCATAACACCATGTCAGAAATGGAGAACAACAATATACATTTAGTATTAGTAAACCCAGTGACAGAGTAAGCGTTAAGATTCGAACCCTCAACATGTATTACACCAAGTTACAATAGACAGAGATACCTACACTGTGAGACAATGGTACCAGTCCCATTATGGGCTGTAGCTGACAAAAATACAAAACAAACACCTTATTATACATGATTATAAATTTGATATTAAAATATATGATTTATAACACCAATATACCCAGTACAATATTAGTAATGATAATTATGTCCTCATTTTAACAATGTCCTCATTTTGACAATGACTGTCCTCAATTTGACAATTTGTCCTCAGTGTGTATGTTTTTCTGATGTTGGGATGGGTATTAGAATAATTATGATATATTAATGTTAACAGTTAAGGTATTATATTTACTGTTGCAGAATTTTTTCTCTCCAAAAGACACTATGGTATACGCAACTTTCTCAAATCAAATCAAATCAATGTTCGAAAATGGATTTAAACCTGCAGCAGTGAAGGGTTTTGGAAAAGATGTAAAAAATATGATGCTAGTACAAAATGATAAGATAAAAAATCTCTCTGCATACAATTTAGGTATTCTTTTCATTGAAGAAAGATTTAACCCTAAATACCACACTGTATGTTTCAAATGGACCTGCCCATCTTTTAATCAAGACAAAACCATTCATCATTTTAGGGAAAATTTCAAAGAATAGCAAGCGGTGCAGATCATGTCCAGACAACCGGAATGTGCCGGATGATATTTGTCTGCACTGGTCTGTCCTGGTCATATGTATATATTCAGCTGTAACCAGCGTGTTATTTAGGTAAAGCTTGAAAAACTAAGTTTTCTACAAAACATTGGGAAAGGAAATATCAATTGCTAATAATATAGGACCTAAAGGACAAATAATAACTTTAAAGCACTTTTTTCTGACTACTTTAGCAAAGGAGTCTTTTTAGGTTAAGAAACTTAATAGCTAGTGCTATGAAAAGGTTCTAATGTACTGCAGGATATTTTGAGGAAAGCTTAATGGTCAAAATGTATAATGTTATTGAATGGGTTAGAAAAAATCAATTTTGGAAGTGTACTTTTTCACTAAAAGAAATATTTCTAAAAGGAAATTACAGTGGGTTATTTACAATACCCCTTAGATTACCATTTGAGCCTTGTCACAACAAAACCAACATAGTGCGTTTGCGTGGATCCAGATCGGATGCGCAGGCTGGTCTGGATTCATGCTGGTCGCAAACGCAATATGTTGGTTTTGTCGTGACGCGGCTTATTTTAATCTTTCTAAAAGAAAGCAATAGATGTTATCCAGAATTCCTCAAATGTGGGTTTTTCCCAGCTAATCCGTAGGTACAAACTTTTACCATTATTCAGCTTCATGTTGCACTACCCATCACAATAGATGTTGCGCTTATTTTCCAAGATGTAAAAGTTTGTTTGTACCTATGGATTAATAGCTTAATCCTGGAGTAAGTCTATAAATTCATGACAATTTTATTATCTTAGTCTGAAAAAATTACAAAATGTATAACTTATTTAACTCAATATTTAAGTAAAAGGTCAGATGTGACCTTAAACCAACAGTTAGAACATGTAAATATGAGACAAAATAATCCTGTATATTCATGCACAGTCTCATAATACTAATGTACCCTTCACAATACTCTGTTTAAAAGAACCAGTCCCCAAGTTCACAAGAGCCGCTACCAAAGGCCAGTTAAATTATTTTCTTTTCGCCAAATTAATACAACATGGAATATGACAAAATTCTTTACATATTGAAACAAAAACAAAAAAATTTACAAAAAAAATAAAATTGTTATCACAGTCAAACCCGCATATATTTGTACAGAAAATTTCTTTCAAAAGTGGTCTTTTATGAAAGGTGGTATTTTAAGCTAGGTGAATTAACAATAATACTGTTCACATTATTATCTTACTAAAAACTTTAAATGTTGCCTTAACATGCATTTAAAGACGACTTTTATTGTTGCCATATCACGTGTATTTAGAGGTAGCCTTTAAACACAGGTTTGGCTGTAGTATAAAAATTACATAATATTTTGCTTTTATTTAATATACGTCTATCAAAATTCACTAATGAAATGCAACAAGAGAAAAATTGTGATGATATATGATGATACAAAAAACGTATAAAACTAGTATAATTATTGTAATGTATAATACAAAAGGGAAAACGAAGCATCTCTACACAAAAGGACAGACAATGAAAAGTTTTCCGAGTCTTACAATCGAGACCAGGGTGCTCATGTACAATACCTTCGTTATCAAACTGATCAGTGCAGGTTTGTCTCCAGACCTTCCCCTGCACGCGAGACAGGGTATGAGCCCCAGTACTACCTGAGGAGCCAAATTTGGCCACTGAAGAAGCATATTTGTTAGTAATAATCATAAAAGAATAAAAATAAAATAAAAAAATTCAATATTTGATTTATTCCTTAAATACCAAGGAACATAAGTGTGAGTAAAGAATAACAATATATGTCAGTGGACTTCATTATCACTTAAAATATTGCATCTTTTTAACACAGGCTTTGCGGATTACAATCTTGATATCAGATTCTGTGTATATACACAGCTATAGCAAGTTTATCATTCTCAATTTTAATCAAAGAAATCAAATTTTGTAGTATTAACTGTGTAATAATATAAATGTGTAAATAATAACATCGGCGAGTTATCATACCAGAAAAGATTAAGAAGTCTTTATTATTTATTCCTAAAATTCTCATCCATATTAATAATGGCAAATTAAAGTTGCAAGTAAAGGAGGTTAAAAAAATACCAACAAAATAACAAAAAAATACCAACAAATAACAAAAAGAAAAAAAACACCCAAAAATATCCTAACTGGACTAGCAACAAATCTGATTGGAAATTATATGAGTTAATTAATTTACCGTACTGCAAGCATGCTCACATGATCACATTTATCATGACACAATCTGATGAAATCACAAGGAACTTCTAGGCTTTTAATTGACTTTTTACTCCATACATATCTATCTTTCAGAACAGCATGAATTCTGGTCTTGTGACAAAAAATAATGATGCATGCACTTTCATGCAGACGGACAGACATACAGACAGACTGTGTGAGTTCTGTATGCCCCCTGTGACGATATACGGAATCTAATGATATGTGTGAATACAACAATATGTTACTGCTAAGGTCATGTCAACATAATATACAGCCCATCCTCATCCTAAATTGTAATTATATCAGCCAAAGCTATAAAAACAAACCATGAGCCAAAAGTAATACTCAAACAAACAATAACTTACCATATGCCATAGCTGTAGCAGCTTTTAATTTTCTCTGATACCTGCAAACAAATTAACACAAACATTAATACAAATGTAAAAGTACATGACTGTATTTCAATGATGATTTGATTCACAAATATCTTACCAAAAAGATAGAAATGTTAAAACAAGCAACATTTTACGTTGATTGCAATGAGATCAAACTGAGATAAACAACATGTGTCTATAGGACATGTATGTCCCCATTATACTTTTGGATTTATTTATTACTTCCCCCCACCCTTTCATACTTTTGGATTTACATGTGACCAAAGTCCAATTTTGCTCATTTTTGCAAAATCAGGGGCCATAAATCTGCTAATCACCAATGTATTGATAAATTACTAAGATGTAAACATTTACATGATGACAGATATTCTTACGAGTTTTAAGACTTTACTTTAGAACTTTTTTGAGTTACATGCAGTATGTACTAGTATTAAAGTCTATTTTTGCTGAATCAGGGGTTGTTACTCTACATAGATACATTTGTTCACATGCTCGAACCTATTTTTAAAAACTTTTATGGCTCCAGCAGTTACATTTTTGGAGTTTCACACGACATTGTAACCCGAACTACCAACAGTAAGCATGATGGATGAACAAGGGCAAATCTATGTGCTCTCCCCCCATAAAGTGGTGAGGGCATAAAAACAACATAATATATATATGAACACTTACTGTTGTCGTGATATATAGAACACTATACATAATCCAACACAAAGTAAAGTTAAAGCTATCGTCACTAGTATAAGTGCCATCTTGTATGTATTCTCTAAACTTTCCTCTTCTGATGCTGTAACTGTTGGCTGTAAAACACAAATATATATTACATTTATACCATATTATATATTTGCTCTGTATCTAGCCTTGTTAATGTTTTCATTATACCAAAGCTGATGAAGATGAAGTTTGTGGCCTCGAGATTCTAATTAAAACATTGGTAAATATTAATGAACAAACCTTAAAACTTGACTTGCGTCTATTTTTTTTTACCAATTTTAAATTAAATCCAGAAAAATTCTCAAAATTATGTTATTGTTTTATAAGCAATGGCCAATGTGCCTTTCAAAGTACAATTTTAATCTTCATTCTCCATTTGACAGCATTTGGTGACCTATTTGCACTTACCACAATTTCTAGCACCTTGTAATCATATCTCACACCAAGTAATGCCTCAGCAAAAGAATCTATCACCCTGTAAAACAACAACAGCTATGAAACTTGCATACCAGTTCATAATAAAAACACAGTGTTTAGAACAATGACATCTTGTCAATAAACATGAAAAACATTACAAAAATTACTTCCGTTGAAAATGTAGTTCACCCATTTTCCATTAATTTTCCTTCAATAAAAATTATTCTTATGTTTATTTATTTATCACTTAAATCTATGCCTCTGTGATTTAGATCATTGTATTATTTCACATCTGAACTTATATCTTAATATTATATTGTGACAACACACTGAAAATTTAATAGCTATCATACCTATACTGGGCTGCGCTTCATAGAAAGTCCTAATGGTATCCAAGGTCCTAGGGTGTAAGAACGTTACTTTACGACTAACTGAAGACTGTGTCAATAAATACTTTTACACTTAGTCAAAGACTTTAGATTTTAAACATAGAACTGTCACAGTTTTGGTTTGAAGACTTATTTCAGACTTAGGAGTTTCTATGAAACGCAACCCTGGCATTCCGAATATAGTGCCAATGCACTGAAATATATATATATTTCTGAAGATATAATTCAATAACAACAATAACATAGTTACCGTAGCAACTCTTGTGAAGATATTGTCTCATTGGTTTTCATATCTTCTCCATGTATAAACATATCAGTTCTGAAACATATCAAACATGATAATTACAATTCAATTTATTGTTTTAAAGTCTGTATCCATATAATAATATTCTGCAAGGAAATTCACTAAGAGTGTCTAAAATAAGGTACCAGTCTGACTGAACTTCAGATGAACATTTGATCTTTTAGTCAGATTGTAAAGGTACATGGTGGGGGGTGGGGCATCAACAGTTGTCGCTACATATTATAGTAAAATACTGTGTCTATGACAATTTTAAATATTGATTTAGTTGAATTTACTAGGTATTATTTCAAATCAATCATAGATCTCAAAACTTTACTTGTCAATGTAACTATTTATGTTTCTTTTAAACATTAAATATCTTTTTACTTGACAATAAAACATTAACAATTTTGTTATTTTTTTAACCAATACACTAGTAATTGTTCTGAGATGGTCATGCTTTTCTGGATTTAAATCTGAGAACTTTAGAATATAGGATCTGATCAGACTGAACAGAAATACAGACTGGTCTGTCTCCCCTGGTTATAGGCAGATGGAACACTTTTGCAGTTATGACACATGTAAATATTGTTATGTGCATCATAAGCAGCATAATAATCATCTAAATACGCAAATAGTTTTCACTTACTTATTAACTTCCGGAAAACCATACTTGTTTTCATGGGTCTGAATTTTATCTACAACAATTCTATATCCTGTTGTCTGCTGAAGTTTTCTGGAAAGAAAAATAAAGATATAAAACATATATAAGATATAAAAGATATATATAGCACCAAACTTCTGTGCAAGGATCTACTGGTATTCTGTTTACAGCTCAATGCATGTATTTTATTATTGAAACTTTGAAATTAAACCATGGCAATCCCATTACACACATTGAGCATTTTAAAGGTGAAAAAAATAATTATGTAATTTTCTTGCTTTTTAAAAAGAAAAATATGCGTATACATACTGTGTAAATGCCACTTGGAAACCTCTGACTAAATCTGGTGTATTCCTGAAGACCACTTTTACACGTTGGTCATCATTTATAAGTGATATCTGTGATTAGAAACAAAAGGCTTTACAAAATAACTACAGCATATAACTATTGTTATGTTTCAAATAATTTTATCATCTTAAACACTGGCTTGCATTGTCTTGTTATTTTTTCCTATGGGACATAATTGTCTCAGGGACCGTCCGGAACAGTCACCTTATTTCTGGGAGAGTCCTGGACGTCCGGGACATTCTGGCATGTATGAAGTCTTATATGAGAAACATGAGAACAGTTGCAAATTGTATATATATCACATAGATTTTTCGCACAAAATCCAAATTTAATCTCTTTGAACTTGAACTCTGAACTTGAACACAACCATGCATTTAAGTTTTCAAGTATTCCTATCACAAAGTAAAAATCAGCTTACCCTGAGTGTTGCATTAGCTATGAAAGGCTCGCCTCCTGTCACATTCTCTTTGGCTTGTATATGAATGAGGTAGTACCCGTACATGTTAGCTTGAAAATACGTGTTTGTTGCCACGGTGCCATTCTTGAACACAAGGAATGGTTGTGATTTAGGATTCTGTCCTAGGTTACACTGGACCTTCTTGTCTTGTAAATGGTGCTCTGTACACAGGGAAGAAAACTCCACCTTCATTGTAGCATCCTCATCTGTCACCAGGTCCTGGTATACATGTATTATTAAGGTAAATTATGATATGAATATTCATATAATTCTGTTTTAATATACATGTACTGTCACCAGGGCCAGATAAATATGTGTAATTCAATTTTTATAAATTTAGCACACATTGTTTAAAGTTTTGAATGTTAATGTTCTAACAACCTGTGCCATGATTTTTTATACATGTACTAATCATTGTTTTGATGTAGAACTATTTATTGCTCACGTGAGAAATTTTGTGTCCAAATTACAAAGATGCCCCCACATTATACTGTTCAGCCAGTCTACAGACGGACAGCATGCCGGCAGGACGGATCAACTAAGGCAAATCTATATTGCCCTCCCCAGCCCCAAAAGGGATATGCGATTGATAAAATCTTTTACAACATGTACTTAATGCTTTTTATTACATAGCAAATGGATTCAAAGCAAAAATAAGTTTTCTCTTAAATTGTTTTTTTTTTTTTAAACATTTTCATCATACAATTATGTATCATATTACAACAAATAAATCTGTCAATTACGCAGTGAAAGAAATATATTCTACAAGTGATATTTTAAAGATAGAAATGATTACCTGAAGGTTTGTTATAGACATGCCAAACCCTGTATCTCTAGTTACACCAAGTGTCAACACTGACTGTTTGAACTGTGGTGGATTATCATTTATATCTGTAATCTCAACCTGTAACAATATGAAAACATTTACAGCTGTTATAATTAGATTACTCATTGCCTGATCAAATTCCTCAAAGATCTTACACCAGCTGCCGGTTCAGATAGGAATATCTACTTGAACTGTTCATGGTGGTTACTTAGCCTGGGTTCCAGTCTGTCAAATTTTTATGTGCATCTTTTGGTAAATCGACATTGAAATTATCAAAAAAAACAAATAAGTATGAAATAGCGCGTACAAATACATTTGTAAGTATGAAATAGCGCGTATATATTATGAATAAGAAAAAAAAAAAATGCCTGAATCCCAGGCTAGTGGTTACTAAGCTAGGCTCTGCTGAGTTATACCACAGATATTGCTGAAATTTTGGATGACTTTTGATGGTTTGTCAAGTAATGTCACTTGCTTTTATTGTTGGTTAATAGTTTAAAAGCACACTTTTTGGCAATAAGTTGTACAGACAAATAACAAGTCATCAGGCAGATTAACCCCCTGTACAAAAAGCACCTATTGTTAACTGTAAGTCTGTAAAAAAAGCTACAGTAATAAAGTGGTTTAACAATATTGTGAAGATGCAGATAAACAAAATATCTTAAAATATATAACATCGGGTTAACAAGTTCCTAGTGTCAATTTTGAAAGATTTTGTTCTGATTTATTAAAGTGGCATCAGACTTTACTAGAGCGTTATGTGCTTGGCTATTGCTATCACTGGGCATAATTATAATTGAGCCATATCAAGACAAAACCAACATAATGGGTTTGCGACCAGCATGGATCCAGACTAGCCTGCGCATCCATACAAGAGCATGAAACAATGACAAACCACTTTCCAAATACCAACAAACACCAATCTTCCAAATACAAACAAAAGAAACACTTTCAAAATACCAATAAAAACCCACCTTCCAATTACCAGCAAAAACCCACCTTCAAATTACCAACAAAAACCCACCTTCCAATTACCAGCAAAAACCCACCTTCAAATTACCAACAAAAACCCACCTTCCAATTACCAGCAAATACCCACCTTCAAATTACCAACAAAAACCCACCTTCCAATTACCAGCAAAAACCCACCTTCCAATTACCAGCAAAAACCCACCTTCCAATTACCAACAAAAACCCACCTTCCAAATAGCACCACCTTGCAATTACCAGCAAAAACCCACCTTCCAATCACCAGCAAAAACCCACCTTCCAATTACCAACAAAAACCCACCTTCAAAATAGCACCACCTTCCAATTACCAACAAAAAGAATCATTATATTAAGCTTGGTGTAAACTTTCTTACCTGTACCCAGAGAAGTGACAGATTGCTCTGGTAACCGCTCGGAGGGAAGGAGACCATGCCGACATCTATACTGTAGTCAGCGTAACATATAGGCGAAGCCAGGACGATCATATTGATATAGGGCACTGTCAAGTTCTCACGATCAAATGACCTTGTCAAGGTCAAAATACCACTCTGGTCCAACTGAAAATGACTGCTCACCTCCTTGTCACCACCTGAATAACAAAAAAAGGTTTAACTGCTGTAGTAAAATCAATATGAGCCGCGTCACGATAAAACCAACATGGTGCGTTTGCGACCAGCAAGGATCCAGACCAGCCTGCGCATCCGCGTAGTATTTTAATGATCCATGCTGTTCGCTTACCAACCCTATTACAACTAGAGAAACTGATAGCAAACAGCATGGATCCTGATCAGACTGCGCGGATGCGCAGGCTGGTCTGGATCCATGCTGGTCGCAAACGCATTAATTTGGTTTTGTCATGATGCGGCTCATATATTAACTACAGTTATAGATAAACAAATTTAAAGATCTTGAATTTCTATGAAAAGAATAAGAATTAGTATTGAGAAATGGAATATGGTACAAGAAATGATGTTTTTTTCTTTGGAATATAATAAATAGCTGTTGGTACCTTTTTGCCATGCCAGCTTTTGGCAAATTCAAACCATATTTTTAAGCGTTTTAAAATAATCTAAACTATCTAAATCTGTTAAAACATTTTGTAGGTTTAAAAGTTAATGTGTTTTGTTTTTTCTATATTTCTCCTTTTTTTTTGTAAAACTGCATGCAAAGTTTGCATTTGCCATGGCATATAGTAGTTTGCTTTCATAACAGAATTTTAGTCTGCCAAACTTGGGAAAAAGCAGAGCTATAGATAAATGGTATTTGTCCTATTTGTCCAATTATCTATTGTGTGCTAAAGAGATATTGGCAATACAGGCTTGTAATTGACATTGACATTCACCTCCTCAATAATACATGGATAAAATGCCTGTTTTCCTAATTACATACCGATTATGTAATAACAGATGATAGAATTATTGCCAGTATCTTTATCTACAGCGATATCCAGATCTGTTGTTGTTTGATCATGTACACGCTCCTCCTCAATCTTGATTTTGTAAGGTTGAAGTCGCGGGACAATGAATTGTGGGGCATTGTCATCAACGTCTAACACCCTGATTATCAATGTTAGTGTACTGTAAAGAGGGTTAGGTACTCCATTGTCTTTTGCTTTTATCTTGATCTGTAATAAAAGAAATAGAATCTCATGAATATATTGTCCGTTACTTATATAACAATCTGTAATTATTACATGAAAACTGTACACAGATTTTATTTAACCCACACCCCCCCAAACTACAAATCCAATTAGTTCAGGCTGAATTGCAACATACAGTACTATGTATATGATCAAAGTGACATATGAGCCGCATCTTGACAAAACCAACATTGTGAGTTTGCGACCAGCATGAATCCAGACCAGCCTGCACATCCGCGCAGTCTGATCAGGATCCATGCTGTTCGCTATCAGTTTCTCTACTTGTTATAGGGTCTGTAAGCGAACAGCATGGATCCTGATCAGACTGCGCGGATGCACAGACTGGTCTGGATCCATGCTGGTCGCAAACCCATTATGTTGGTTTTGTCATGACACGGCTCAATTATGATTTTTATAATGCTTGATAATGTCCAAATAAAATATCTTAAAATCTGTGCAGCAGGAAATAAATATATGGTTCAAGAACAACTAATGGAAATAAATAAACTTGATCCCCAAAATTGTTTGCTACGACTTAATTTGTGGATAAATTTTGTTGATTATTTTATTTCGTTTGACTGTGTTTAAAGCTGTAAACATTCCTGGAACCAACCAACTATTACTAAAGCAATGAGTGTAAAGTTTCTTGCTCATAAAAACACTGCCTTGCCTCTGACGTGCTTTGAACCTATGCAGCCAGCAATCCTTAGATAACTAGTCAGCCCCCTTAATTACTCTGGCATGATGCCACTTTTTTGGGTGTTTTTTTTCTTCTTTTAAACAAATTCAGGTCATCAGACTGCCTACCTCATATTTGTCTTTAGATTCTCTATCGAGTATTATCTTATTCGTAAGCAGACCAGTTTTAGAGTCTATCTCAAACACCTGCCAGTCATTCTCTTTCTGAATCTCGTAGGTGATCTCACTGTTTCGACCATGATCATCATCCTTTGCCTTGATCTCAAATACTTGAGTACCTACAGGCTTTTTCTGAAGTGACAAAAAAGTTTTTCACTACGTTTTATTAAAATAATTAAAATACATTTTGTGACTAGGAAAAAAGAATGAACAGTTTTTTAAATATTGTTCTTTGATAATGAGATATTACTACAATCTTTAAAATAAATATAAAAATAAGAATAAATAAGGAACATTTTAATTAATTAATACTTTTGTGATCCTTTGAAGAATATGTTCAGAACATTTAAACATTGAAAAAAAATTAAGAGTTGTATGAAATAGAGAATATGAGTGTATGTTCAATACTGAATTTATTGAACCAGTTGATTCAGAATAATATTATTTTATTCAACAAATTCAATAAATTCAGTAATGAACCTACATGAATATAATATTCTATTTATCACAAACCGAAAATAAAGACTGTTTAAAGTGGAAAAGAATTATTCCTTTATTGACGCACCTATAGTGTAATGCTAACATTTAGTGCGTCTTTACACTATATTAAATCAGTTTGTGTAGCACAAATGAGGTCATGTCAAAATATATATACATGGCTGTGCAATACCATTTTTATGGAAAAGCAATTATACATGAAATTGATGAACTGGTAAAAAAAGTTAATATCACCAAAGAAACAAGAGAATGAACATACAGAAATAAATGAGCCGCGTCACGACAAAACCAACATAATGGGTTTGCGACCAGCATGGATCCAAACCAGCCTGCGCATCCGCGCAGTCTGATCAGGATCCATGCTGTTCACTATCAGTTTCTCTACTTGTTATAGGGTCTGTAAGTGAACAGCATGGATCCTGATCAGACTGCGCGTCTACGCAGGCTGGTCTGGATCCATGCTGCTCGCAAACCCATTATGTTGGTTTTGTCATGACGAGGCTCAAATTTCATACCTCTTCAGTATTAATTTCTGCCCGTGGCCCTGTTGGATTAATAAACACTGGTTGATGAAGATTCACATCTTGTACCTCAATAATTAAACCAGTCATGGCAGACCTTTGTGGATTTCCCTGGTCGGTAACTGTGACATTCAAATGTAACTCTCCCACGCTTCCTAATAGATTATTTGCCACTCTGATGTCTCCGAAATATTTTGGCGTTCCTCCAATGTTTTTTGACACAGTCTGTATAGTGAACAGTTTGGATACAGTCTCATTAGCAGAAATTGTGTAAACCAGTCTAGCGTTCTCACCAGTATCTTTGTCTTCTGCTGATACTGAAAAAACCGGTGTTCCTTCTTTGTTAGGGTCAAAAGCATTTTCTAGAACTGTTGCGCGAGTGTCTTTGTCGATGTTTGTAAATTCCGGGTCATTGTCATTGACGTCCTCCACCTCTATTGTGATTGCTTTTGTTTGATTGGTTCTCTGTTTGTTAGGGTTGTCAGGATTATCGACTGCTGTGACATACAAGGTATATAAACTCCTAGTCTCTCTATCTAATCTTTTGGCAACAGATATTTCACCCTGAAATGTAAAAAATAAAAATAATGATTAACTCTTGTGGACTCTTCAACATTACTTCTTAGTTTAATTGTAAATGAAAATTGGATTTCAATATTTCTGATTGGATTATTATAGGATAGAGAGAATCAGTCTAAAATAAAGTTGTATTGTATATTTTAGATCATTTGCTATACAGAAATAAATAACGTGTTATACAACACTGATGAACATTTCATTTTATATTTTACAAAAGATACATCGGCGCTATTACCAAACCTTATTTGCACATTAAAAACATTCTTGAGTGAAAAGTGACAAATTTCTTGTGTGAATGGAGAAAACAAAAAAAATCATATCAAATACTTACGGTTAATCTATTTATTTTGAGTTTATCGTCATCGTTGCTGACATCAAAACTATATACGACGTTTCCAAATTCTCCCAAATCTTCATCAGTTGCCTGTATAGTAGCAATAACTTTACCGATCACTGCGTCCTCTTTCACTTTATAACTCTGCTTGTATACCGCAAACACTGGTGTGTTGTCATTTACGTCTTGTACACTGATACTAACTGTCGCAGTGGATGACTTTATCGGGTCTACGTTGTCCATGGCTATAACCGTAACCTCCAAAGTAGGTGTCTTTTCTCTGTCTAAAGCCTTGTTCAGTCTCAATATTCCTGATAACAAATAAAATGTTTCCTTGTAATAACTAACTGCATCTGTATAATCATGCTTAGTGCTTGTGCAACTTATTTTTATTAAAACTAATGCCAAACAAAGATGGGATCTTTTAAGAACAATCACCATTTCAGAAACATGGACTGTGTAAATCTTAAAATTTCATTTTTGTTAAAACTAGTGCCAAACAAAGATGGGATCTTTTAAAGAACAATCACCATTTCAGAAACATGGACTGTGTAAATCTTAAAATTTTCAATCAACCATGTATTAAATTTTGATAAACTACCAACAGATGGCATTAAAAACATGTTTTTTGAGAATTTATTTAAAAAGAATGTCTGCTCAAAACTTTTTTGTTGACAATTAATAGATTAAGTTTTGTATTTTTGAGTTGAAAATTATAAGGGTTTTGAAGGAAAATATAAAAAAATGTCTCTGATTAATCAGAATTCTTACCAACATCAACTACAACAAGAGTATAAAAAAAAAATTGATAAAAAAAATTGTTACCAGTTTTTTCTGTGACAACAAAGTTTTTGTTAGGATCTTTATCCATCTTGTAAGAGATCTGTTGGTTTTTGTCTTTGTCGAGGGTCTCAAACCTGAGGACCTCGGTGGGTGCTTCAAGACCTTCTGGGATCTTCAGGTTATATGAGGAGTTTGGCAAGAATTGAGGATAATTGTCGTTATAGTCCAACAATGTTACAGTGACGCTGGCTGTAAATATAAAGAAGAATTATTTGTAAGTCTAAAAAGAAGACGTACATTAAGCCTTAGGGTTATTTTGATTTTAACTCTTATCTTGCTAAATATCTTTAACAGACTTGCCTATCCTTCAATCTGGACAAAACCATTAGTTATTTTTAGGGAAATATTTCATATTATAAATTATGTACTGACTGAAAGGCAAGCAGTGCAGACTATGATCAGACAGCAATTAAGGGTGAGCAAGCTGAACTTGGTCAGCACTCGTCACACATTGGTAAATTTCTGTTTCTGCTAGCAGGATTAGAGTTAATGCAATAGAGCTTAAGCAAAAAAATTACTAAATATTTCTGCTCGTTATTTATCATTTAGAGGTTTTAATGAAAATTAAACAATCCCTTTAAAATTATTTATTATTTCAAGATTATTTATGGTCAAAGATTAAAATGTTCAATAATTTGATAACAAAGATACAATTATGTAAACAATGGCAGCAGATCCATTTTAAATGAGACTTCCTTAAAAAAAAGAAAATGATGGTACACCAACATTGTTTCACATGCTTATTTGTAAAGAACACACACACAAAAGTAATTTTTTGTTTTGTTTTAGACAACAAAGAAATAATAATTTTAAGTACGATACCTTTGGCAGTTTGTGGTTTGGTTCCCGGCCCTGTTATACCCAAAACATCATTTACCATAGCATCAAACACAATTGTCTCAGCTGTTTCCCTGTCTGGCTTGTTTGCTACAGTAATACACCCAGTGTTATTATCAATTGCAAAATAATTCTGAAACAAGAAACATGGCAATGCCATGAAACCAGGTTTTCAATTATCACCATTGTAGATAAATATGTTGAAGTTGAAATACAAATACAAGCAACAAAGAATGTAACTATGTGCAACGTAAATCATGAATAATGTAGGAGGAATTGCACACAGAAGAATTGTTCACTATATATTCTGTTTAGGTGAAAAAAACAAAGGGCCATAATTAGGTAAAAAATTATCCAATCACAAAACCCCGACACTATAACCAGGGCACTTGATGAAAAGCTTCTGTGAAAGTTAGAACAAAATCCATTGAGAAATGTAGGAGTTGAGCATAGAAGAAATTGTTCATTATATATTCTGTATAAGGAAAAAAAACAAAGGGCCATAATTAGGTCAAATATTATTCAATCACAAAATCCCGACAATATGCGCCAGGGCACTTGATAACAAAGCTTCTGTGAAAGTTTGGTCAAAATACGTTGAGAAATGTAGGAGGAGTTGCGCACAGAAGAATTGTTCACTATATATTCTGTATAAGAAAAAAAAACAAAGGGCCATAATTAGGTCAAATATTATCCAATCACAAAACCCTGACATTATGTGCAAGGGCACTTAATTACAAAGCTTGTGTGAAAGTTTGGTCAAAATCCGTTGAGAAATGTAGGAGGAGTTGCGCAAAGAAGAAATTGTTCACTATATATTCTATATAAGGAAAAAAAACAAAGGGCCATAATTAGGTCAAATATTATCCAATCATAAAACCCCGACAATATGCGCCAGGGCACTTGATGACAAAGCTTCTGTGAAAGTTTCGTCAAAAATCCATTGAGAAATGTAGGAGGAGTTGCGCACAGAAGAAATTGTTTACGCCCGCCCATCCGCCCGCCCGCCCGCCGACATACCTCAATCTAATAACCAGTTTTTTCCTTCGGAAAACCTGGTTAAAAATGAGAATAATTTTAAAAAAAGATGATATGACTTTGACTGCCAAATCAAGTTAAAATCATGTAAACAGGATTTTCAATGTTAATGTCACTGTGACCTTGACCTTGGAGCCAGCCATGCGGAACATGCGTTCTGCACGTCATCTTGATGTGGTAAACATTTGTCTGAAGTTTCATCAAAATTCTTCAAAGGGTTGAAGAGTTACAGAGCGGACAGGATTTTCAATGTTAATGTCACTGTGACCTTGACCTTGGAGCCAGCCATGCGGAACATGCGTTCTGCACGTCATCTTGATGTGGTAAACATTTGTCTGAAGTTTCATCAAAATTCTTCAAAGGGTTGAAGAGTTACAGAGCGGACACGATTTCGTTTGACGCCCGCCCGCCCATCCGCCCATCCGCCCGCCATACCCCAATCTAATAACCAGGATTTTCAAAATTGAAAACCTGGTTAATAAAAAGTCATTTACAAAATTAGCTCTGAAATTTAATATTTTATATTTGTCATTTTAGTATTATTGCCATATAAATAAGAAAAATAAACATCAAAGTATTATGACATATTTAAAGTACTTTACACATTAACCCACTATTGCATGTAATAAAAGACAAAATTATAATATCATCCCTATTTCAGTGAAAATAAATAATTGCCAAGGAATATTGAAATATATTTTGTAAAGTAACAATATAATTAGGCCTTTATGGCATACATATATGGAATCAGACTATTCTTCGCTTTCATTGCATTCTGATGCTATACATGCATTACTGACTGACTGATTTATATGGTTTGAAATCTAATCCGAGCAATGGATTAAAACAGATTGATAATGAACATTTTCAAATTCAAAACTATGCTTAGTACCTTAAATAGACTTGTCCATCTTTTTATGAGCACAAAACCATTCATCATTTTGAGGGGGAAAAAAATCAAAATATAATTAGAGTCAAACTTGTGTTTAAGACTACCTCTGAATAGAGATCACACTGTAAATAAAGGCCACTCTTCAACTATCCTTCATTGGTTAAAAAAAACAACAAAGCAACCTCCAAATAAAGACCACTTGTCTATAATGGCCATGTTTGGTCACTACGATGGATGACCTTTATTTCAAGGGTTTGACTGTATACAGACTGTCTAGCTAACAGTGCAGACTGTAATTAGATGGTACAGACATGTCAACTGATCTTGGTCTGCACTAATAGCATGGATAGATTCAGTTCCCACCGATCAGACTTTAATTTTGTGAATCTAAAGTTACTATAGAGGTATTGTACGTAGTTAAAACATACCTTAACCCCTGTTGATGTAACGTTTACAGTTTTTCCATTTTCATCGTACGCTTGTATAGAACTTGACACAATGCTGTATGATAGAGAATGGTGAGTGTCAGGGTCGGTAGCTGTTACACAGACAACAGTGGTACCTGAAAATAACACATTTATGTCATCATCATTGCAAAATATTTTCTGGTAACTATATAGATCTAATATTCTAAATGTGATAATAATCGTTGAAGGTGTGTCTTAATTAGTCTGGGCATTGCCATGAAAGAAAATAATTTCAATTCGGTTTGTCTGAATTAAAGTCTCTCTTGAAATATAAAGATTGTGATTATGATGTCTAGACAGCTTCCATTCAAGTAATAGAGGATATTGAATGAGTGTAAGTTTAATTCTGAATTAATTGAAGGAGTTGAATAGAATTATATTATGTGTGCCTCAACGAGTTCAATAAATTTAGTAATGAACTTACACAAATTAAATATTCGATTTATCACATACCAAACATAAAGACTCTTTGAAGTGATGAAGAAACATTTTTCATTGACGCGCCTATAGTATAACACTTACATTTAGCAGTCTTAACGCTATGTTTATATACGCTATGTTCATATAAGGCGAATGACGTCATGTCAAAATATATGCATGGTCGTGCAATACCATTTTTACGGAGTTGCAAAAGTGGCACAGGTATGTGAAAAAAATATTATGTTCCTTTTCTCCCACTTATATTATATATTTATCATTAATTAGCTGACACCTTGTACCAACAAGAGCGCTATACTTCTATGAAAAATGTACAAATTTGTAAAATGTTCATAAGTATGATAATGTTATACATGTATTGTAACATTTATACCTGCTATTGACTCTTCAGATATGGAGGCTGTAACAGTTGCTGGATCAAACACTGGCGGTTCATCGTTCACGTCTAAAACTGTAACGTTCACTATACAGAGGCCAGTCAGCGGTACTGCACCACGATCTGTTGCCGAGACATTGAGGATATAATTATCTTTTATCTCCCGATCTAGCTTAGCTCCGACTTCGATAGAAATTACACCCGACTGGAAGTCAATACGGAACTTATCACCAGCACCGTTGTCAATTCTGTACAGATACTGATTGTTCGGTATTTCACTGTCGCCATCTGTAGCAGATACCTTGACAACGTAAGTGCCAGCACTGGCATTTTCTGGAATGGTGGCTGTGTAATATTTGGGGTTGAAGACTGGCGCATTATCATTGACATCCTGAAATTTAGAGATTTTTTTGAGGTCACATACATCTACGGTATATCAATTTGTTTTACGCATCACTATCTGAAACAACTTGTTACATACTTGTATGTGCTCTAAAACAATGTAATCTCCTCAGAACATTCTCTCCTTCTAATATCACAAAAATACTTTACAAGGAATGTTACTGACAACGGAATACATATTCTTGCATATCAGACCAGTGCAAGGAAAACCTATCTTACATCCCACTGTGTAAGACAAGTCACAATGTTTCCAATGACATCATTTACCGTATAATATGGATAGCGTCATGTTGCTTTTATAAATAAAGTTGCAAATTAATATGCTCCTGTAAGGAAAAATTGCAAAATAAAAATATTAGATTTTGTAAGAATTTTCTGGATTATTACCCTGATATATGCAAAATAAGAAAAATAAACACCATACAGATGGGAATATCTAAGCTCACAAGCTAGATTTTTGAGTCAGTAATGGCAGCAGCTGTTGTAAGATTCTTATATGACTCTTTGTTCAAACTTTTCTTGTAAACTTCCAAACAAATCTTCAATGAAATCTGTATAATGAGTGCAATATGGCAAATACAGTCTATAAATGCCTGGTGATGTCACAAATGTCCACAATCAAAACACAATATATAAATGTGTGAAAAACTCTATTTCCCCACACCGTTTTAGCGTATGAAAATAAATCCCTGAAAAATAATTTGAATTCACCTTAGGATATAAATGTATTTAAGTAACTTACCACTACTTCAACAGTAACATTGATGTAGGTAGACAGACTTGGCACACCAAGGTCATATGCCTCGACTTCAAGGAGGACTCTTCCTTTGAGGTCGGCAGGTAGTGCCTCGTAGTCTATCTTCTCAACCATAGTGATTAATCCAGATGTACTGTTCACTGCGAACTTGTTCTCAAGGCCAGCTGAGGCTTTCGTTATTCTAAACATAATCTCACTGTTGGGTGTGTTTGGTTCATCTTCATCTGTTGCCTAGCAACAATAAGCATTTAATAAGATTATAGAATAATTCTAGGATTCTCCTAATTTTCAATTAATGTTCAATTAATAATAGTAAAACTGGCAATTAATTAATCTATACATTATAAAGAAAATCTAATTAGACGTAATAGCAAGTAATAATACTGAATGCAAGAAATTAATAAATATATTTATTTTTGATAAAACCTTACAAGTTTTCTATTCCATTAGAAACTTTCTAAATTTAACAATAACATCTCAATACAGTCTAACTTGAGCTAACGGTCACATCAGAGAAGTGGTCATTTGCCAACAGCAGATGGCCAGCGGTCACTAGAATAGACTTCCCTGTGGCCATTTTAAACTAAAACAATGCTCAGTGTTACCTTGTTTACAAAAAACAAGATGCGTGAAAATACAAATAACGCTATGTTGCGTATCATTTATGGCCGTTGTTTAGACATGCTTGATTGTAACACATCAAGAATGACTGTTATAACTTGTTTCTTTTAATAATAATCACTTGCTTGTTAAAATCTTAATATGAGCTGCATCACAACAAAAGCAACATAATGTGTTTGCGACCAGCATGGATCCAGATCAGCCTGCGCATCTGCGCAGTCTGATCAGGATCCATGCAGTTTGCTATCAGTTTCTCTACTTGTAATAGAGTTGGTAAGTGAACAGCATGGATCCTGATCAGACTGCGCGGATACGCAGGCTGGTCCGGATTCATGCTGGTCGCAAACCCACTATGTTGGTTTTGTCGTGACGCCGCTCATATAATATACCTCAACAATGAGATCCCCTCTCAAGAACTGTAGACTGTCCTCTCTTACAGTAACAAACTGCTCCTTACGCCGGAACACTGGATTCATGTCATTAACATCAAGAACTTTTATATCCAGATTAATAAATGTAGTCAGGCCACCCCCATCTTTTGCCTCCGCTGTCAGGAAATAGTTGTCAACTTTTTCACGATCTAAAGCTCCGTCTAGAGTTATCCGACCTGAATTCTCATCAATTTTGAATCTACAATAGGAAATATGGAAGTAAAAAAGTTAACAAAACATGTGTGCACTTAATTGAAAATACCCTTTAAATAGATTTAAAGTTTTGCAGGTTTTTTTATTTCTTTATTATTTCTTTTTTTTTTTTGGCTATTTTATTTTATTTCTTTTTTTTTTTTTAAAAGCACCAAAACTTTGCCGGGAACATTTTGATTTCGAGAAGTTTTTAATCCGTAAAAATTACAGTATCTATAAACATCATTCTGACTTTTCAATGTTATTATGATAATTCAGACTTACATTTGATTGTTGCCTCTAATATGGTAGGATATGTTACCAAATTTTCCTTTGTCTGCATCTGTTGCCTGTAAAAGTAGAAGAAGCACCTGAGATTCTAGTCTCCTTAATTGAGCCGCGTCATGACAAAACCAACAGTTTCAAAGTTTCAAAGTAATGCAGTCTAAGACAGAAATGAATTTCACTAAGTGAATTCTGTTTAATCAAAAATTTTGTGTGTGCTTAATTAGCCAATATGAACCAATCTGGTCCAATCATATGTTACAAATAAACCTTCTTTTTTATGAATGCCGCATCTATCAAAGTGTCAATCATGCTCTTAATGTACATGTATATACATTGTGCACATTATATTTAAGTCAGTATTACTAGTATAGTTTTTGTATATGTATTTTCATATTGAATAGTCATCGTAAAAACTACCAACTTTCTTTTTCAATGCAATTAAAGTGCATTCATCTAATAATGCTATAAATTCAAATTTTCAAATCCATAAAATAAGAGCACTATCACCTTAAGAAGATTAGAAAAACCAAAAAGATTTTACAATTTGTATCAGATATCTAACCAAAAACAAACCATGGTAACTTACAGTAAGGATTATAAGTTCCGTTCCCATTGAAGCATTTTCCATCATAGAAAGGGGAGGTAATGTTTCTGGCTGAAATATTGGTGAGTTATCGTTCATGTCTTGTATATGTATAGTAACATCTGCCGTACTTGACCTCAATTCTGGTGTTCCTATCTCTCGTGCAATTATCTGAGATGGAAAACGAGTTAAAGAATTAACTAGTAATGTGACTGTCTTAAAAACACATATGCCCCACTATGTATGTAAAAACACCAAATAATATGAATAAAGATGTAACGACAGGACAGCAGAGTTGCTACACCATACACTATTTTGCATTCTAACACGACCAGCATTTTTCCCTGTTGAACATAGAAGAACCGAAAGTGTGTGTTATTATGCAATAAAATCACAGTTTGACATTCTATATTTAGACATGTGACATAATCATTATACACGTGACATAACCACTAAAAATGTGATGCGCTGAAAATAAGTACAGAGACAAATCAGGCTTAATATAGGTTAATATCAGGTACGGCAGCATTTATTTGTTGATGTCTTGTTAGAATCGAAATAATATATCCAAAACAGTGATTTTATCGCTTGATAACAACACTGTTTGTTGTTCGGATGCGCATCATACGCCCTTGTGATATAATTCCTCGCATCCGAACTCCAAACAGTAATGTTATTGAGCGATAAAATCACTGTTAGGGATATATTATTTCTTAAAAAAAGACCTTTCATGAAAAAGCGGACAGATGGCTGTTAAAGAATACAGTATTTTATTATTCATAAGGTCTTAATTTTATAGAGTTATAGATCACAGTCAGATTTCTCAAATTAGACTGTACTGGACCATGGCCGGGCATATTAAGTGAAATCAATTTTGTGGACTGTCTGTAAACAATATTTTCAACAAATAAAGCAGACTTGATAATGTAATGAGCCAAAAATTACTACAATATTTTCGACAACAGCAAATCTTTTTTAAAAAAAAAAAACCTGGTTAAACAAGTAGATATTAATAAAATGGTACAAATAAGCTGTAGCAAGTGCAACACTAGAGGTCTGTCTCAACCAAAAGAGCTGGAAACTCACAATATGACCATTACAGCATTTAAAACCCAACATTAAAAAAACAAAGCTGTAGAAATCATAACATGAACTTTATATGTCTTTATTTAATCTCTAGCATTATGGAACCTTATAACAAATTGTCTTAATAATAAGTATATCAATTGTCTTTATAATCATATTATCATAGTAATAATCATATATAAATCACTGAAGAAAAGTGTCTCACCTGGAATGTAACATTTTGGATTTTTTCGAAATCAAGAGCAGTACTGTTCTGTACACGAATAAGGACTGATGATTCAACAAAAACCTCACTAGGTAATGGAGCAAAGTCGTGATATGGCTGCCCATCTTTCTCTAGAGACAGTTGAAAGTGGCTAAATACACCCTGTAACAGAACGATACATAAATCAACTGTAATTTAGCACTGGTTATCATAATATATAGAGAATATTAAAAAAGGGAAGAATTTTCATTGAATGGTATGAAAATAAATACATGTATTTCATGAAAGGTGGTAGTCAATACATCAATATGATAATTTTCATACCACAAGATGAAAATAAATCCTGCATTTATAGAAAAAACTTTTCTGTTTATTATATCCATTTTTCTCTGATTTGACATTACAATTTGAAAGTCTTCCCCCTAAATTTTGTGTATTGGCTGAAAGGAAAAAAGTTGGACAAGACACTAGTGAAAATTTGGTAAATATGTTTCACTGCAGTGAAAAGTAAATTTTAACAGTGAAAATATGGTAAATGAAAATACACATTTTATTCCATCAATATTTCTCAATAATTTCATTTGTAAGTATATAATAAATAAGTATCTTAAATAAATAATTACCTAAACATTGTCAAAACAAAATTGTTGAAATTTACCTGATCAATGTCACTGACATTCATAAAGCTGATTGACCCAGGACCATTAAATGTTATTGGTACACCTTCCTGCATATTCTCCAGAATAAAAGCCTCGTATGTTGGTGAGTTAAACTGTGGTGTGTTGTCATTTACATCTTTTACTGTGATTGTCACCAACGTTGTCGCTGTTATCTTACTTTCATCTTGAGTGGTGTCATTTTCCCGAGCCTGAAACAAAACGTCTCAAACATTTATATTATAGGACTAAAACATTCATATATCCTTTTTCTATCACGGAATAAAAAAATTCATATGTGCAGCACAAGAGTCTTAGTGGAAATGGTGACATGGGGGACAAAAGCCCTCCTATCAAATTAATATGGTGGCCAAAAGCTCTCCTATCAAATTTACTAAGAGGACAAAAGCCCTCCTATCAAATTAACTTAGAGGACAAAAGCCTTCCTACAAAATTTACAACAAATGTATATGCAGAACAATAGCCCTTTCATCAATTTAAACAAGAATAAATAACAGCTCTAATAGTCATACATGCTTCATGAACTTGATAAAAAGTGGGCTTTTCTACCTTATTGGCGTCCACGCCGTAGCGCGATGCCCCTAATGGAATGAAATAAGATTTTGTGAAAGGGCGGCAGCAACTTCTCGGGCCATTTCTTCGGTCATAATAGCCGATCATTCCGATTGGTATGAGGGTATTTGATTAACAAGAATGAAATGTCATGAACAATGAATAGCGAACTGGAGAATTTCGCAATGCTAAATTATCTTATCCGTCAATTAATCACGCTCTTCAACTTTTTTTTATTAATCATTTTGTATTACACTCTTATCCATCAGTGGGTTATTGTGTATTGCTGTACCTATAAATAGAATGATGACCTTAACATTGTGAAAGTCCGAAAATCTATTTATAGAAGTAGTTTTAGTTTAACGAAATGGTCATTCGTGTTGAGCTATGATTATAGATAACGAACTGGAGAACTTTGCAGGAAATGAAATATGAAAAATGAAACATATTCAAACAACTAATTGCACTTTGGATATTATAGGCCTGTATATTTTGGATATTATCGTTAATATTGATAGAATTTCAAGTGCCTGTGGAAAAAAAATAATATTCTAATCTCTAGCATGTCTACCAAAGTTCATGATAAACAATGTCTTTCGTCCGCCCATTCATAAATATTATACAATTCTGGTAAAAATCAATTAACCATTGAAAAGTTTATAAGAATATCTAGTCATCAGATGTCTACTAGCTCATCTTCACTTGCTGCATTTCTTGCATGGACGCCCTTTGATACTTTGAATCAATGCTTTTCTTGTCTAACTTTGAATGGGAGGGCTTTTGACATCTCTCAAAATTTACTGAAGACAAATCTGACAAAGGGGGAAAATTTCTTTAAAACCAACAAAATTCTTACTTAAATCCTTTAAATGAAAATTGGCATCATGTAAAAAATATTGAACTCCATAAGAATTTAAAGTTAGGTAAGCATAGGCTTCAGATATAAACAAGTTACTATCAGATTTTTTTTATCTGAAGCCAAAATCATTTAACAGATATGGGAACTTACCATAACATAGATAGCATAAACTCCACCACTTTGACTAACTTCCGGTGCATCCCTGTCTAACGTGGACTTCACAGTTATCCATCCTGAGTTACTATCTATATCAAAATTTGTAATCTGACCTGAAAAATATAATGATATGACTTTTCAACAAAATCATAAAAAAGATGATTTCAATTCAAGTTAATGAAAACATTAACAGTGGAGGGTAAATGTAGGTTTCCTTGTGCATTAACATTTCAAAAGCACAAGGGCACGACTACACAGTAATTCTATGTTTTATTTTTTTGTTTTTCATATGAAGATACTTAGTTATGGCATGCTTTCATGTTGGAATGATATGCCTATTGTTGATGAAATTTTTGGGGACATCATTGCAGTCAGCTGTTCTTGAACATGGCACCCCGAGTCGTGTATTTTATAAAACATGCCATGATGCCATATTTGCTTGTTTCCCATTTATGAAGAAGAAGAAGAAGAAGAATGATTTTATTCCCTGCGGTCTGAAGAACGCAGGGTATTGGTACGTGTTTAACTTTTGAGGCATGGAGGAGCACGTGACCTGTTTTCGGTACATGGAGAAGCATGTGATCTGTACACCGTACCTGATTGGTTAATTGACCTTTTCGAAAACCTAGCTAATACCGTTTGCCGGTACGTTACAGATTTACCTCTAGGGATACTAAATAGAAATATTTTCTGCGTAAACTTGTGTGTTTACTTTTAATTTTTTTGCTCGGAATTATTCAGAAAATGGTATTTAATCATTTTCTTAATAAGAAATAATTGTTTTATGTTCAACCTTTTCCGGTCTCAGGTTTTCAACGGTCACCAGTTTCCAAAGACCTTCTTCTATATTTATCGATTATTGTCAACTATATTCCTGATACAAACGTTTATTTATCCCCCCAAACAATGTTGAAAATAGTTAAATGAAATATCTTTATATCATTAAAAAATGTTCCTCGCAGGAAACCATTTTACTTGTTTGCAACTTGTACACAACATATTGTACATCGTTGTACAACATACATTTACAAAATACATGGCATTTATGTACATATCCTAGTGCAGTTTTTTATGCAAAATTATCTTTTATCATACATATTTGACAGTTCTTAATAAAAATTCTTTATGGTTAATCAATTAAATTAAGAAAGAAAGAAAGTTTGAAATTATAGCCACTTATTAATTACATAGATCAAACAGCTACGTTGGTTATTAGGAAGGTATAAAATAAACAGCACAGCCCTTATAGATTTTATTGATTCTTTTTTGTGTGTAACATTCTGCGGGAAGCAGACTTCAAATTACAAACCTTAAGGTTTAATTCCCATAGATATCTAAATAACTTGATGTATGGCAATTTATAGGCCTAGGTATTTTCCTACAAAGATTTTTAATTTCTGTTTGAAAATTCGATTACTTACCACTCACAAAACTGTAAGTTATTGTGTTTGGAACACCTTTGTCTCCATCGAGTGCTGTTACCTGGACAACCTGCGTTGACTGTAAAAATGTCATAAAATAATTGTTTATTTTAAAGGAATGATGGACATGTTTTCAAAATATCGGAAATTTTTGATGATTACAATATTATTATAATACCAGTATTAAAGCCAGGTTTGCTTAACTTTGTTTTTATCTATTACTTCACATCTAAAATAATCGATGAATTCAATCAATAAATTCAATCAGAAATATGAGCTTTATCTAGATTCTAACAGGAATAATTATTTATAGACATTTAAAATTTAAAATAAATGAGCCAATTATTTCATACCCAAAATTAATGTTATTGCTTAACTAATGTAATATTAATGTAACATCTGATTAGCTTTATGAATATAAGACACATAAAACAGCACAAGTTAGATTAGAAATTTTAAAAAACAAATTCAATATTTCATAATATATGTAATAGAAAGAGCACCGAAACATGAGGCTATCTGATTTGTACGAGGGTTTTGGTGTACTTTCTCTTTTGTAAAGTCAAACATAAAAACACGTTTTCTGTTGCCACAATATGGAACCCAAGAAAAAATACCCCAATGAAAGAGCATCTGAATATGATATTTCTGCTACTTTCCCTTTCCCTGCCGTCACAATAAGTAAACCCCAGCAAAAATGAGCCAATCAACGGGCATGCTCTGGAGTGTGGGTAACTAATACCTGTACTCCAGTTAACGCACTTTGCATGTATATGTATACGATTTAACTCTTACACTTTTTCAACAGAAAGGTCCCCAAACTAAGATTCAAAGGGTGCAAAAAGGTGCTTTAACTTATTCCCCGAGTTATGTAAGTAGTTTGCTGAAAGCAAATACCATAAATTCTCTAATAAACAGTGTTACATTTAATAAGTGTACAAAAAGGTTAAATATTGTCAAAAATTATAAAAGACTGTTTACTGTCTTTGTATGATTTTCCACTTTATTATAATAATATAACATATTATATTAAACTGATTTAACAAATTTTCAATTTGCTATTGTAGTGGTAGCTCATTTTTCTTTTGTCAGAGCTAAGGACCATTTATTAGAGGAAGGGCATTAATTTGGAGGAGGGTCGTTTATTAGAGGGGTGTTTATTTGAGAAGGGGCATTAATCTGGAGGAGGGTTGTTTATTAGAGGAGGGTTGTTTATTAGAGGAGGGGTGTTTATTAGAGGAGGGGTGTTTATTTGAGGAGGGGCATTTATTAGGGGGGGGGGCATTTATTAAAGAATATACAGTATTATGTCAATAACTTGTATAAGAGTTAAATTTGTTTGAAAATTCATTAAAAGTTAAACAATTAAAAAAATTGAGGATATTTTGTTGTTGTTGTTTTTTGTGTAAGATCAAAATATATCTAACTGACCAAACACATTTGGCAATAAACAAGTAAATTGACATAGACATCTTACTATAGAAGCATTTTCAAATATAGATGTGCTGTATGGCAGATTGGTAAAGTATGGTGGCTTATCCTGGACATCTTGAACTTTAATCAGCAACACAGAATGACCAGTTCTTCCATCTCCATCCTATTGGAAAAAGGAACATTCATATTTAAAACTTAAAATATCATCCAATCTGTCATAAAATTAAGATATTCAATTCAAACCAACATGATTACTCTATCAAACCAGTTCCAATTTTGTTCTTTTAACAGATCAGTTGCAATTCGGTGATCGCAATTTGGGTCTATTAACAAAACAACAACAATATTGTTCTTCTTTCATCAAACCAACAGAAATTTGGTTGTCTAAAGGAACCAACAGTTATTTGACGATTGCAATTTGGTTATTTTAACAAACTAAGTGTAATTTTCGTTATTTTATTAAACCAATTGTATATTTAAATTTACACAAAACAAAACAGACTGAGAGTATAAAAAGTATGTGCTTAAGTCACCAAATAACTTAACAATGTAAAGCAAAACAATTGCCTTCCTGTTTTAAAGCAGCCTTTAGCTTTTCTACATTTTAAATATTTTATTTCTAGATAAATTGTTTAGTAAAGCTAACGATATGATTCCCTTGGTAACCTTCCATTTTTAGAAAAGAAATTGTCATCGATGCGCTATAAATAGCTCTAGCGATAATGTTTTAAAGAAGTCTTAATGTTAATATGACGCACTTTTCCAAGATAAAATTACTAAAATACTTATTTTGAAACTACAAAAAATATTGTAATTGTCCAACAAAAAATAAATTCTGAAGGCTGCTTTAAAACCTATCCTCTAAAAACAATAACAAGTTAAATTTTGAAAACATTGTTGTTCTGTATATTATGAAAATTAAAGCATTGGCTATATCAGTTGTAAAGTACTTACTGTAGCAATTAATTTGTACTCATAATAGTTATGAACATTTGCATCCAATGCTCTTTTGAGTGTTACCACTCCAGTAGTTGGGTTTATTGCAAATGCATTCTTATAGTCATCTGATACAGCTTGTCCAACAGGCTAAAATATAAAACAAATACAGTCAAACCTTGTATATGATCAAAGTTCATCCAGAGGAGAGACCAAGCATGGTCTTTATAGACAGGTGGACTTTTTTTGGAGGTAACTTTGTTCTTTTTGATCAATGAAGGATTGTGGAAGAATGGCCTTAATCTACAGGGTAATCTGTATTCAGAGGTGGTCTTGAGGTGGTCTTTAACACATATTTGACTGTATTAATGATAATTATTTTCACATACATCCTGATTTGAAGTTGAAACTGTCCATTTATAATCTAAGGGAATTCAATAGCAAATTTTTTTTTATTCAAGCTTACAACTGTAAAGATTCCAGTTAGTAAGAACACAAATGCTAGTTGGCTAGTATGTTAACCTATCTTAACAAAGTAGTAAGACAGCTATACCTTGCCAACCACTTAATTAAATCCAGGCAAGCAGACATGTTAGAACAGTGAGTGCCTAAAGGTTGTATACTACTACCTGATTGAAGTATTTTTAAGTACTTTAATATCAAAATTAAGGCATCACATTTACAGTGAACAGTTGAAAATTTAAAGCAAGACCATGCAATACAAATTTTTATCACATACCCATGCCGATTTTGCGACTCTGTAAATATGGTATTGCACGGTTGTGCATATATTTTGATGTGACGTCATTAGCGTTATACAAACATAGCGTAAACACTGTAGGCCTGTCAATGAAACATGACTCTTATTTCACTTTAAACTGTCTTTATTTTGGGTATGTGACAAATAGAATATTAAATTCGTGTAAGTTCATTACTGAATTCATTGCACTCGTTGAATAAAATGATATCATGCTCGCCAGAGGCTCTTATAATATCATTTTATTCAACTCGTACAATAAATTCAGTATTGAACTTACACTCATTCAATATCCTCTATAGATAGAAAGGGCTAAAAACATAGTGATTCAGTGGGTTGAAATTTCTAAAACACCAGTAAGAATAGATATTATACTAAGATATCACCTCCATTGAGTATACAATTTGGCCTCCTTTCCCCTGGTCAGGGTCTTTTGCTTCAACTGTCGTCACAGTAGTGTCTAGAGCAGCATTCTGAAATTGAAAGATTTACATTTGTTAGTGACAAAATTGCTATATTGATGACTGAATATGACTTTCCTAAAGTTTCTTTACAAGTAAGCTTCTATTTGCCTTTTTTACAAACTTTTCTGTAATTTAACCCTTAAGAGATACAAATTAGACAATTGTGGTAGAGGACCTCTACAGGGAAAACCCATGACCCCCATGACAGAGCAAATGATGAACCAAGGGGTATAAATTCAACAACCTTATTAGAAAAACACTAAATGTTTCATGCCAAATATCTTAGCTCTATTCCTTTGGGTTCTTGTGAAGATTTTTAATGTTTTACTATATTCATAAAAAGGAATATCCATGACTCCTAGAGCAGATCCCAGGGCCATAACCTGAGAAATCTTGGTAGGGATCCATAATATGATGTTTCATGCATATCTAATCTCTAGCTCTATGGGTCTCAAAGGAGAAAATGTTTTGCTTTTACATTTATTATATATTTTTTAGGAAAATCCATGACCCCAGGGGTAGAGCAAATTTTGACCCCAGGGCCAGAGCCAGTTTTGACCCAAGGGCCATAATTTGAACAATCTTGTATGACTCTGGTCCATTACATTATGATTCATGACAAATATCTAAGCTCTAGCCATCAGGGATATAGAGAAAAAACTTTTTAAGTTTTTCTATATACATATATAATGAAAACCAAGGACCAAGATTTATGGCTCTAGCACTTGGGATTTCAGAGAAAAAGATTTTTGCAGTTTTTACTATACATGTAAGTATAGTCATATAAGGAAAACCCATGACCCTCAGGGTAGGGCCAATGTTGACCTAGAGGGCCGTAATTTAAACAAACTAAAAAGTAAAAAGTCCACCAGGTGATGTTTTATGCAAAATATCTAAGCTTTAGCCCTTGGGCTTTTAGCAGAAAAGATTTTTGAAGACTTTCCTATATACATTGTATAAGCAAAACCCATGACCCGCTGGGCAGGGCCAATTGTTTTTGCCCAGGGCCATAATTTGAACAACTTGGAAGAGATCTATTACATCTTGTATCATACCAAATATCTAAGCTCTAGTCCTACTGACTGGAGTATAGGTTGAATGGTTAACACGTGAGACTAGTAATCTAAGGATTGCTAGCTGCCTGGGTTTAAACCCTGACAGGGGCAACGTGTTTTTTCGTTGAGCAAGAATCTTTGAGAGTGTTTCAATGAGCTTATAGCTTCCAACACAACCAAAATAAAATAAGTTAGTATAAACTAAACTAAAACTAACAAAGAAAAATCTTTATTTTTTCAATCAATACACCTTGACACAATTAGTTTTATATGACAAAATTAAAATTCATCATTAACAATCCTTATTCAGGTAAAACTTGTGTAAATAGAAATTCATACAATATTGAACTTACTTCTTTAACATCTTTTTCATATCTAGATTCCACAAATTCTGGGTTCACATCATTAACATCAGTTATATACAGGGTTAACTCACTGGTTATCTATAAATATTGATGGAAAATTAGTTGTATAATGAATCCAAACAATATAAAATGAAAAGCTGCAGTACTTTTATATTTAAACAAAGATAATTATTGCAATAATTGTTTTGTTGTATTTTCTGATCGCAATTCAGGAAATACAATGCTGACATTCAATCTCTGGCACAGAATTTCACGACAAACCTAACAACAAGTAGTTCTCAAAACAGCTTAAAATTAGAGATGTAAAAGAAAGAAATATTTTTATTTTGTTGCAAGTATCCAACAAATTACAACGCATTTAAAATTTAAAAGTAGCGTTGGCTTATAAAATTGTCAATAAATGCACAATCACAAATTCATGCTATTTTTAGCGATGTCGATTACCATATACTTCAGAGTGTATTACACAAATACGACTGTTGAGTAGTTGAATATAATTATACATGTTAGACTGTTTTGGCGAGAAGATTTTCGCTAAACAGGTTTATCGTGAACAAAATACCTCGAAATTAATAAGATTACAAACCCGAAATGGAAATTCCAAATATAGAATTATTAGATTTTATTTAGGCTTTCCCTGTGGTGCAGGGGTCAGGCGCTCGTTTAGGGTGTGAGAGGTCTGGGGTTCAAATCCCAGTGGAGGAAACTAATTTTTTTTTCAAGTGTCTTTTTTAAGGAAGTAGCCACGATATGCAATGATAAAGTGTTGCTGTCATAAAAAATGAACATAAATGATTTTATGATGCAACTCTAGTCATACAAAATTCCGTTTACATGTATAAAACTCAAAACTGTTATGGTAAAAATCTAAACGCAGTCGCTGCATTGCGGTGCCCTGATAAATGAATTATAGTATATAGAATAAACTTATACAGGAAAATACATACATATATACAGTACGATTTAGATTGCAAAGATCAGAAAATACCACAGAGCTTGCAGCCCTTTGATTTTTTACAAGTACCTATCTACTTTCCTGTAAGACTGGCCTTTTATAAGACAGAGCTTATATCTTACATTGAAATCTTTCACTTGTTTAAAATTTGTACATGTATTAGACATGTTTTAAAGAAGAACTAGAGCTATGTTTGTGGGCAATTAAAGATAGTTGTGGTTCTTGTACGTTGCATTTCTTTTCACTGTGGTTGACCATTGATGAAGTTTTATTGAATTACTCTGTAATAAGTCCAGATAGAGTTACAGTTCTTAAAGTTACATTTAAAAAATTTAATAAAAAACTAAATAGCGACATTTCATTCATAAATTGGGTTTTATATCGACTCCAGGTCTTATTTTGGTGTCCAAACAACCAAAATTAGTTTTATTAGCATAAAAATAGGTAGCCTCATTGTGGCGAAATGGGAAGTACAATTTCTGTTTGCATGAAAAACTCCGCCTTCGGATCATCCGTACATCAATATTAAATCAACAAACATGACTATAAGTGGCAGTCCTAATTTAACGGTATATTTCCGCATTGTAACGGATGGTTTCATATAAATTTAATCTTTTTACGAGATGATTACTTTTACTGAACCCCAGGTTAGTGCACCGTGAAGCTTAAACGGTTAAAGTGTGTTTGCACAAGAAAATATCACATTTGCTGTGTTCCGGATAGCAACTATAAAATTGTGACGTAGAGCATACACGAGCTCATTATAGTCTTTATTTGCATGTTAAAATTCGTATACGAACTTTAGTGTTACCGTGGGGTTTCCCGTTTAAAATCCTAATTTATGAACAATATTTGATGAGATTTACAACAAAACTTTTAAACAGGTTAATGAAACTGTAAAATGTTTGATTTTTAGGCCGACGGCAATATATTTTTACATATTTATTAAATGTAACTTTAAGCACTGCACTTCCTCTCATTGCGCTTGACCATTGTATGAAGTTAAGCAATATCAGTAAAGGCAGTTTTAGCCAAATAAGTTATGTCGTTAAGCGAATCCAGTTATGACATTTTAGTCAAGAGCTGCATGCATTTTACTGTGGACACATGGTTTACCATTGGTTCAACATGGTAGCATACTTACAGTATTTCCTTCCCCTCCTAGATTGTCGTTAACATTAAACCTAAGTTTCATAGTTGATTGACCCTGCAATTTAATTACAATGATAATCTGTATTAAAAGAATATCCATAAAATATGAAACAAGTTAGTACATTTTATATAATTTCAACACCAAACTTAACTGATGAAAAAACTTTGGTATCTTAAAAAGTGTTGGTATAATTGCAAAAAAAAAACATAATTACAGTAGCTGCTTTCTTTTACCCAACTTAAACAGGCCTACTTAGCAGTGTTAAGATATTTTTTTTAATATGCACTATTACTCGTACAAAAAGAAGTTTACATTACCAATAGCATTGCAAATACAGAAAATTATGCACGTGAGTCAGCAGGGCAAAACAATTACAACAAATTACATCTTTTCTAAATTCTAAGCAATATGTTAGAAATATTATTGAAAGATGAATTCTTACAGAATAATCCCTGTCTAATTCTTTTATGAGCACAACATCTACTTTCCTGCCTTCAGGACTGTCACTCTGTCCACGAGCATTAACTAGTTTAACATACTGTTCCGTTATATGACCTTTAGGTATTGAGAATTCCAACTCCTTTGGACCATCAATATCTGTTGCTTTCAAAGTTATAAGGGTCGTGTCTAAAAAATAAATGCATAAAGTATTAATTACTCTGCCAGTTTCTGCCATTTTCAACGAAAATTGAATCCCCGCTCTTTTCACAAACATTATCACAACTCCAGAAATCATACTGTTTCCTGATGGCTTTACATATCTTAATACTGATATACAGAAGAAGAAATAACTAAACAACTACAATTATCAGATAACTGGATAAAATACCAGTCAACCTGAGTTATCTGATAAAACTCTAGACAATTAGTAAAACATGTACTAAAGTTTCTCAGGCTTAAGCATAAAACTCAAGCCTAAAGTCAATTGGATACTCAATCTATAGAAGCAAGCGAGCTAGTCAACCAGTTACTTAGGCTCTAGGATAAAACTTTAGTCAACTGGATACTCAGACTATAGGATAAAACAATGATCTACAAAGTTACTTAGGCTGTAGGATAAAGCAAACAGTTACTCTTGCAAAGTATAAAGCACTAGTCAACCAATTATTCAGGCAAAGGATAAAACTCTAGTCAACCAATTATACAGGCAAAGGATAAAGCTCTAGTCAACCAGTTACACAGGCAAAGGATAAAGCTCTAGTCAAGCAGTTACACAGACAAAGGATAAAGCCCTAGTCAACCAGTTACACAGGTAAAGGATAAAGCTCTAGTCAACCAGTTACATAGGCAAAGGATAAAGCTCTAGTCAACCAGTTACTCAGGCAAAGGATAAAGTTCTAGTCAACCAGTTACACAGGCAAAGGATAAAACTCTAGTCAACCAGTTACTCAGGCAAAGGATAAAGCTTTAGTTAGCTAGTTATTCAGGCAAAGGATAAAGCTCTAGTCAACCAGTTACACATGCAAAGGATAAAGCTCTAGTCAACCAGTTACTCAGGCAAAGGATAAAGCTTTAGTTAGCTAGTTATTCAGGCAAAGGATAAAGGTCTAGTCAACCAGTTACTCAGGCAAAGGATCAAACTCTAGTCAACCAGTTACTCAGGCAAAGGATAGAGCTCTAGTCAACCAGTTTTTCAGGCAAAGGATAAAGCTCTAGTTTACCAGTTATTCTTGCAAAGGATAAAACTCTAGTTAACCAGTTATTCAGGCATAGGATAAAACTCTAGTCAACCAGTTATTCTTGCAAAGGATAAAGCTCTAGTCAACTTAAGTTACACAGGCAAAGGATAAAACTCTAGCTAATTTTATAAGACTATGATGTGATTTTTTTTTATTATCAAAGAATACAAAAAAATTAAAAATATTTGTGAGCAAATGACCTTGACCTTGCTCACAGATATCTAAGTGGCAATCCAAAGCTGCCACACAGCAAATTTAGTGTCAAAAGGTGAAAGCAAACTAAAGTTATTATGGAAAACTGAATTTCTTTTTTAAGCAACAGTGACGTTGACCTTGTTCACAGACACCTGGGTACCAATCCCAAGTCACATCTTGTTATAAGCTACCCATATACTCATTTTGATGTCAATAGGTCTAAGTAAACTAAAGTTATTACGTAAAAACTGAATTTCTATAATTAGCAACATTGACATTCGCTTTGATCACAGACACCTGTGTATTAATCCCAAGCTGCCTCTTAATATAAGCTACTTACACACCAAGTTTGGTGTCAATAAGCTAAAGCAAACTCAAGTTATTGAACTGAAACAGAATTGCTATTTTTAGTAACAGTGACCTTGACCTTGACAACTGACACCTGGGTAGCAATCCTAAGCTGCCTATTGATATAAACTACTAACAAACGAAGTTTGGTGTCAACAGGCCAAAGCAAACTCAAGTTTTTGAGCTGAAACTGAATTTCTAATTTTAGTTTGTTTAGTAACAATGACCTTGACCTTGATCACAGACATCTGGGAAGCAATACCAAGCTGCCTCTTCATATTAGCTACCCATGCACCAAGTTTGGTGTTAATAGGTCACAGAAAACTCAAGTTATTGAGCGGAAACTAAATTTCTATTTTTAGTAACAGTAACCTAGACCATGATCACAGACATCTGGGTAGCAATCCCAAGCTGCCTCTTCATATTAGCTACCAAGACACCAAGTTTGGTGTCAATAGGCCAAAGCAAACTCAAGTTATTGAGCAGAAACTTAATTTCTATTTTAGTAACAGTGGCCTTGACCTTGACCACAGACACCTGGGTAGCAATCCCAAGCTGCCTCTTGATATAAGCTACCTACACACCAAGTTTGGTGTCAATAGGCCAAAGCAAATCAAAATGATTGAGCGGAAACCAAAAGATGGCGATGTCTGCCTTCCGCCTTACCGCCCGTTGACTTCGGCATAACAATTACCAGTTTTGATTGAAAACTTGGTTAATATAATAAACTAACTAATTATGATCACTAAACTTGTATTAACAACAATAAGGAAAGGTCTTACTTACTTATAGGTGTGTCCTCCGGTCTTATGAGAAAGGTGTCTCCCAGGAATATAGGCGCATTGTTACATAAAACTAAAATATAAAAACACATACACATACCAATATATTTCTTTCATAAAGGCATTTTGGAAATATTTTTTATAAAATTCTGTGAATAGCAGACAGCAGAAACTTTAATACTTAAGTAATTAAAACTGTCTGACAAACTGGGTAGAAAATGGTCGTGCTGCACAGAGTTTGCTACATCTGGACAGTACAATATCAAAGTGGTAAAAGCAAAAAATATCAAGTTATTCTTAATTAAATTTGACAAATGACAAATATTAACAAATTATAAGTACACACTTATACAGGCATGTACATGTTAGTCATGGAATCACTCATTATTTGAGTATAAGGTGTTATACAGCAGACCAGTAAATCATAAATTCAGCTTGTCAATTTCAGATTTGTAGAATATCAATGACAAGGCATTATAGAGATTTAAAATTTATGTTTTTCTTGTTGACAGTTTATAGTATGACATTAGAGTATACACCGCAGATGAAATCCTCAACCTATACATTACAACGACACAGAAACATGATGATCTGTTATAATTAATTAATTACCTGTGTTTACAAGATTGATGTCAGTAAATTGTCTTAAATTGAAAACTAATTCATTATAGTATGTTCATTATAGTGCGCGTGTCTGAACATAAACAGGAATTTAATTACACGAGAATGTTTAAATATTCATTACACATGTCATGTAATCCTCACATCATAATTATATATAATAACTAGTCCCTGTTATGAATTAATAATTGGTCCCTGTACAAATTGCAAGTTGTCAGGAAATTCAAAGAAAATGCTGGAGCAAAGTAATTAATATCATTGTCTACAATGGCAGTTTTTGTTCAAAAAAGTTTATTCTCTAAATAAACACTCCTCCCCCAAGGAGATTTTGAGCAGATTGTTATAAACCCAAGAACATATGCACAGGCTTTAAAATAACTTGTTATTGTAGTATAATATTATATAATCCAGAAAAAATAATACAGAAACAGTAAACTTCATTTTGTTTAAATTTGATGATATTCAACTGTTTTTTTTGTTCTTTAATTTAGATGCCCACCATTGTTCTCTAGTGTCCAGCTTTATTTGCCATTCAATGAAAATGCTGTATTCCTTAAAAAACATGTGTGTTAATTTTCAAAGAAAAACGAAAGTTGATACTTTAAGTATCAAATTCTGTTCATAGTCACCTTCTATTTTTCTTAGTTCTTCAATAACTAAGAACCGCATTCGTAAATATAAACAGGTAGTGACGTAATATAGTAAATCTTAAAGGAGCTAAAAAAAGCTTGTCACTAGAAGTATGTTAGTGTTCATACGTAGCTGTTTTACAGAAATTAGAAACATTCTAATGACGCTTAAATCGCTCCCGTCAAAGTTTCTAATTTCTGTAGAACAGCACACAGATGAGCACTAACGTACTACTTAATACCACCCAACCAATGTTTGGAAAACATAAAATACTTAGGAGCATTTATTAGAGATTACACAGTAATCTATATTATAACCTCAATTCTATATCATTATGTTTCATTTAATTTCATTTTTTGAAGACTTCATAAAGTTTGTATTTTAAATTTATTCCGAAACTTTAAAAAATGGGGTAAAAAGCTAGACTGTATATGAGATAGATTTTAATCAGCCAGGAAAGAATTATGTGAGGGCACTGTCTCAAACTGCTAAAGGAATTGGTTTGGTAAAATCTAAGGCACACCAACACAGTATAGGTCATTATGCTCCCCCAAAACAGGAAAAATGATTTTGGCTATCTTTGGATGTTACAAACTTCAAAGCAACACCAAGGGTCAAAATCACCTCACCTGCTGGAGCTAAGACAATTAAGCATAGGCTTCAGTTATTCAAACCCATTTTGTCACCCCTTACAACTAGACTTCGCAAGGATAAACGGTGGCTAAAATTCTTATGCCTCATCCATTTAATAAAGGCAACTCATCAACCACAGGAGATAACTCTGATAAATTCCCCCTACATATAACAAGACTTAAAATATATGTCAAAACTGACAACAAATTCATTTCAAAGTGTTATAGATTTAAGGGAAGCATTTATAAATAAAAATTTTCCTTCTTCTTGGTCAACCATCAGAAGTAATAAATTACACATGAAGTACCGGAAAAGTATGTTAATATGATATGATATGAAAGTAAAACTTTGCGAGTAGGGCTGTTGCTAATGTTGTTATAACTTGAAGCCATTTGCAGTCGATATTCATGCAAATTACATATATTTTTGTATTATTCACATATCAAATTATTATAATTTTTATTAACATGCAATAAAATATTATTAAATTTTAAAAATAAAGTTAAAATAAATAAGTTTACTAAAATAGCAAAAAAATCAATAGACCGATTGTGAACAATTTGATTTTAATACTAAACTGTTTAATTATTTACTACATCATTGTGATTACTATCACACCATTTTACATAATGATAAAAACCTATTACCTCCCTATGGACATAGAAATGATAAAAATCTTGATGTACCCATGATGACTCGGGGAAAATTTGCATAAAAGGACACATATATTTGCTCTAAATTTGACCTCATTGAAACAGTAAAAATCTACATTTGATCAAGATTCTAGACACTGATAGAGATGTTGACAGCAGTCAAGGACAAAGTGATGATTTTTCACAGGTTTTGCTGTTTTGTTTCGAGTTCTCTGCATGCCCCAAGGTATTATATCAAATTAATCATCATTAGCTATGGACTGATATTGCACTGTTCACGATAATGCAGCAGTGTCATTGGATATTTGATTGTAATCAAGTGCCCCCAGTGCAGCTGCTGTTTCAAAACAGAGATCTGTTCCTTTTTTTTTCTTTTTTTTTCTTTTTAAACTCTAATTTAACTCATATTGTCAGTCAATAACCCTCATGTATCTTCTCAGAAGTATTTATTATTGTTTCACATCATAATCACTCCTAAAGGCCACAAAATAAACAAAAGGTCAATTAAAGGTCAATCAACCATTGTTTTGGGGTATTTTTCTAATTTTAGAATGAATTTTTAACAACAGTAAACAAAATGTGAAACAGAAATAGAAAATATCTTTTAATATTCACATACTAAATATGGATTTTATAATGGTTCATTACATCTAAGCATATGTGACAGTGCTTGAACTTTCTTAAATCTATTTATAGAGGTAGGCACCCTTTAACCCTTGCCCTGCTGCATCTGAAAGACCTTAGCCATTAGGTCACCAGTATATGGAGTTAGGCCAGTCTGCATAATTATTTTGTCACACAGTCTGACCAGGCTTTATACTGTTGGTTGAATATCTTTAAATTATCATCTTAATATCCCTAAAATTGATAATGGACAGTTCCAAGAAATGTGAGCTGGACAAGTACATTAAAGAAATAAGCTTGTTAAATGTTCTGACAGAAGCAATAATGAGAGTTTTGTGCCATCTTTATTGAGCCAGGCCAGCTTGCATGCCCATACAATCCTAAATGACTGTCCATTTTAATGTTTTATTCTTGAAGCCCGGGCAATACAAATAACCGATAGCACAAGACTCAAGTCCATTTTACAATGTGGGCCGTATCCAGACCCCAAAGCTACTTTGGTCTTCATTTTTATAAAAAGCCTATTTTTACTCTTTTTTTTATTCATTTTTCTGTCATGTTATTCTAACACATGTAACAATTTCATCAAGAAAAAAGAAGACATGTATAGTTGGCCACACCCAACATCCTGGCAACAAAAAAAACTGGCAAGAGACATTTGATATGATTTGGTATTTATATCACCTTGGGGAACACAACTGTATTATATAACAAAGATGTAAATTTACAATATTTCAACATTTCCACAGAAGGTGAAAGAGCTATATTAATATCTGCATCATCATATTTCAGCTGCTGACGTGAATTGATTTACAACAATTGATAAACTTTATGATGAAATGAAACCTTCCCCTTGACCAAAGGGGATTTTTTATTTTTAATTTTTGTTTTTTTACTATAATTTGGGAAAAATTTCATTTTTATTTCTGTCGGGTTTTGTCTTTGAGTCGGCCCGCCCCGTTTCAATATTTTAAAGGGGTATTTTTTAATTTCTGTACAATGGATTTTATTTATGGAACATAATTTATGTTGTTTAGTGCCTAGAAACACTAAAGTTAATGGCATGCTTACTTTTTGGGGGCTCAGCTGCCCCTCGGACAAATTCCCCTTTTTTAAAAAAACATTTTTTTAAAACTACAACCCAAAAAAGAATAATATTTCCCGTTGGGCAATAAAAAAATTTATTTTTTACGAAATGTATTTAGCACTTTTATTATTTTCCCGGGGGTTTCTTAACTAAATTTTATCCATTTCAACATTAACCTTTGACCTGGCTTTAACATCTTAAAAGGACTTGACCATCTTTGCACCTGGACAAAACCATTTGCTGTATTTTAGGTTAAATTTTAAAGTAATTTAACTGTCAGTATATTGTATGAACAGCACAGACCATGATCAGACATAGGTGTCAGCGGACTAACGGCTGGAATGCTTGAATTGAACCACCCCTAACACTATACAGATTCTGAGTTACTGTCTGTTGCAGCTTTAAGAGATTTCAGATCCAGAACGCTAAGATGGAGAGCGCCATAAGAATAAAGAATCTGGAGCTTTACACTGATACATCAAGGGATTTAAACCTAAAAAAAATTATAATTGAGCTGTATGATTGGTCAGCATAAATAAACAAGTTAGCCCGGCAGCAAACATATGCGTTTTTTGCCATTAGTGCTGAAAGGGTTAATGTACATGTATAATCTCACATCAAATCATAATATATAATTCGCGGCATGTCATATCATCACCTCATTGTATTGTGTTACTGCATATTCAAAATATTACGTGACAATTAAAATTACAGAATAATTTAGACATTGTAAACAATGATGATGGTTACAATGAAAGATATAATGAGAAACTGATATGCATTTATCTAGAAATCAGTGTGAAAATTCAATAAAGATTGCAGAATTTCTTAATTGATATTGCAAAATATCTAGAAAATTTCAAACGATTCACACAGGAACTGTGGCATTTTGGATTATACTTGTCATGAGAAAGTCAGGCACTTGTGAAGATAATAAAATATTTGTGGAAACAGTTCTTCATGTAACATTCACAATACAGTAAAATACCATGTGACGACCACACCACAAATAGGACCACACGGCTATTAAGGGCACTTTTCAAAAGTGCAAAATCTTAGCCTTCTTTATTCATAGAGAAAAATTATCAGTATTATACTGACCACGTCTCTAAAAATCCAGCATTGCGATGACTTCTGTCAGACATTTGTGTGTATTTCTCATTAAAACATTAACCTGTACTACAACCATGGAACATAACGACCATCCAACACCATGATGTTCTATTTCCGCCATGCTATTTATTAAGAATTCCTGCCATTAACTGTATCATTTAAAAAAATATCTTTCTGATAATGGTCCACTTTGTTTGCTATTTGGTCAGTATTAATTTTTTTATAACGGTTTTGTCCTGATCATAAGATGGAAGAGCCTGTTTAAGATATTTAGCTGTGCCAGGGTTTAAAATAACACAAATATAAAATAATATAATTCATAAGAAAGTAGTTTTAAACAAAGAAAATAAACAGGAGTCGATCAAATTGTGAATTGTCAGACATTTAATTACATTTCATTATGATAAAAGAAATTTTGATGTTATGAAAATACAAAAGCGACATCATTAAAAAAACAACATGACATACAATTAATATCATGTATGCAGAATAATGTAAAACTATTTCCCTTTAATATCAGAACATTTTAAAATTTTAATAAACAAGTTATTATTAATTATATGTATGTTAATTAAGTCAATTAGTTGCTTGGATTTCAAAACGTTCTGCTGTTTTTCATTGCGATCAAATTCCGCTCAGCAGCAATCTTCACTCTGTTGACAAACCATTATTTTGCAGATCTTGATTATTTATAAAATATTAATATTGTTTCATCTCAAATTAACTAGATATTACTGCATGCAGAGCTTTCAGTATTTATTAAATCATTTGTTTTATCTCCGACCAATAAAAGATTAATAGCTTCTGTAATATTGTGACAACATGATAATGTCCATCCCTATAAATATATGGATCAGGAAAAAAAACTTTGAGCTAACTACAAATTAATGAATATAGATAAACAACCATAAATCTTCTGTTTGACAAAAATACATCAACGTCTCCATAGTTTTAACGAGGAAATTTCATTTACACATGCCATGCCGACATTTCTCATATTAAAGTCCAACAAAACTACAGTAGTACATTGATTGGATGGCCATTCCCCGCCACTTGCAGACAAACTTTTGGCATAAAAATCTGAATTTAATCCGATTAATTGACGGCTTAATAGGAAAACTGTGTAGTAATCTTTATGTTCATAGTTTCACCTGGGGTCCAATATTCTCGGAACAATGATAGCTCTCATTCACCGTGCCATATTGTGACATTTATACGACATTATGACATTTGCCGGACACAAGGGATTCATTATAAACATATGCTACATTTTTTATTGTTTGTTATACAATTACAAATGGATTGAATTAATGTAAATTAAAAATGAATGGAATTAAGGTGATGATTTTCAAGTGCTTTTCATTGATTTTTTTTTGTACCTGATCAAGAAATGCTTATTTTGTCATTGCATAGAAGTTCATGTTATTTCTATTTAATATGCAAGAATAAGAATCAAACACCGGCTATCTTTCTAGTAACCGATAAGGGGAAACTCGGCAGAGCCTCATTACTGCCACATACAGTTCTTTACATACCTTCGAGCTAGATACAATAAAGTATTCTGGTCTGTACCAGTATCCAGTTTAATTAGATCCTATTTTAAGATCTATAGAACTCTTTCCTTTTATTAAAACCACACTCTGGTGGCATACATAATTCATTCCCCCTATAATAACATTATATATGATAAAATATTCAAGGTCTTACCTTGTGACAAGAAAGAAATAAGCAGAATACATCTGTGAAATATTTGGCACATCTTTAAACATAAGATTTGATCACTGGGCAAGTGTTATATATGTTCAGTCACTCTGAAAATATAAAAATATAAATAATATTAAAATTTCAAATCGTAAATGCACTTGTCCATCTTTAAATCTGGACAAAAAAATTCTGACATCATTTTCAAGGAACTTTTCCAAACAGGTACAGTCTGAATAAAACCCAGTGCAGACCAGGATCTGTGGCAGCTGGGATGTTGCCGGCTGATCTTGATCTGCACAGGTCAATAAGCTTCACTTGCAGCCAGCCAAAGTTAATTGTTTAGCAAAAAAGTACATGAATGTTAAACATCACAAGAATGAAGACCTCTCATGTATACATCATTTGACTTCACAAAGGCAAATATAAAAAAAAAGCAATGTAGATATAACTTCACTTGTTTTTTTCTTCTTCTTCTAATTTTACACTGATATTAAAGCTACAGGCCTCAAGACGAGTCAAAATATTTCAATAAAATCAAACTTGAGAAAATGTATCAAGATTTAGGAAAAGTAAAGATTTAAGATTCAAGTAATAATTTACATGACTTGTTATGGGTGATTAATTCAGCATCCAAAACTTTATTTCTACTATGTTACTAATGCAGTAAGGGCTTTTTTGAATAGTTTGACTTTTTTTGGTTATTAAGGTGAGATGCAAGTTGCTACTGATAATGTGTAAATTGCTTCTATTTGATATACTTCACAATATTTTTCATGAAAATTAGCATGAATCTGGAGCCGTGCTGCTTCAACATATATCTTAGATCATCTGACTCCATAAACAACAGAAAATTCAATATCACAAAGATTACAGATTTTACAGATGACAATCTATAACTTAAATTGCATAATCATGACTTTCACTTATTGACAAATATCACAAACAGAGAAATATACTCATACATTATGCACCATGCATGTATTACCAACGCTGGAAGTCATAAATAATAAACATAAAGACATATAGACATAATGACTTGCAATAAATAAAGTACATTATGTCTTATAAGTACAAAATCTACAACTTATTTGATAATGAAATTCAACTCATCTAAGCTAAAGAAATAAATCAAAGCCAATTTAGTCAAATGAGTACATACAAATGAGACAAAAGTCTTTTAAACTGGAAAAATGCTGTTAAATTGATCTCCTTAATGGTACTGTATCAATTTTCTACTCCAAAGATTTTTATTTTAGTTTTATTTTAACCAGTGTATCTGTATTAACATCAAAAGATTGATTTATAACTCTTTAATTTGGTCTTAAAATTATTTATAATTCTTTTCTTAAATTTAGTAATGAAAGTACCCATAAATAATTCACATTTCATGCAATATCTAGAGCCCTGATAAATTTTGTTGGTAAATAAATCAATGAATATGTGAATAAACAAAATTTCATTAAAATACTGACTCAATGAAAGACTCAGTGAAAGTTTTTTAATTGCCATTAATGCAATATTTATTCAAACTAATTTGAAATAGTAAAATTTGACTTGAACTTCCATGTTTTGGGTTGCTCTATGTTTATTCAACATAATATTTCGTATAAACCTTGCCTATTTCACATCAATATTGACTCTTTTGTATACACATTGCTTATTTTATATAAACATTGCTTTTTTCATATAAAAATTGCTTATTTCATACAAACATTGCTTATTTCATACAAACATTGCTTATTTCATACAAACATTGCTTACTTCATATAAACATTGCTTTTAGCTTATGTCATATAAACTTGCTTATTTCATATAAACATTGCTTCTATCATATAAACATTGCTTATTTCATATAAACATTGCTTATTTCATATAAACATTGCTTATTTCATAAAAACATTGCTTATTTCATACACACATGGCTTCTATCATATAAACATTGCTTATTTCATATAAACATTGCTTATTTCATATAAACATTGCTTATTTCATATAAACATTGCTTATTTCATACACAAATTGCTTCTATCATATAAACATTGCTTATTTCATATAAACATTGCTTATTACATACACACATTGCTTCTATCATATAAACATTGCTTATTTCATATAAACATTGCTTATTTCACATAAATATTGCTTATTTCATATAAACATTGCTTCTTTCATATAAACATTGCTTCTATCATATAAACATTACTTATTTATATAAACATAGCTTATTTCATATAAACATGCTTATTTTACATAAACATTGCTTCTTTCATATAAACATTCCTTATTTCATATAAACATGCTTATTTCACATAAACATTGCTTCTTTCATATAAACATTCCTTATTTCATATAAACATTGCTTATTTCACATAAAAATTACTTTTTTCATATAAACATTGCTTTTTTTACATCAACATTGCTTCTTTCATATGAATTAAAAATTGCTTCTTTTACATAAATATTGTTTTTTCCACGTAAACATTGTCTATTTCATATAAACCTTCAACTTGCTTAATATTCTTATTTAGTCAATGATACTAATATATCAAAGCATTGCTAATGCCCCGGTCACATATTCACGGATAATGCCAAGGAAGAGCTACGGTCTAATTGTTCACGGATTACTACGGAAATGTGAAATTCCGTAGTCCGCTACGGTTCCAGGACGGACACACAACGGTATGAGTACGGATTTCGACGGATTTACCACCAAAAGCCCCGGGAGAGACACAGATTGTTACGGACCGACACGGTTTGATACGGAGCGACACGAATCAGGACGGACGCACTACGGATACACTACGGTCTGCTACGGTATAAGCACGGGTTAGTACGAATAAGTACGGTCTGATACGGAGAAGAACGAATTGGTACGGTTAAGAACGAATTGCCACGGATCTATACGAACCTATTATATCCGTCCACAATATTTGTCGCATGCTAAATGTCTCACAAGAAAAGAACACTTAGAAAACGAATTGCAGAGTTCAATGATTTTGGCGGAAAGGATTCGGCCTCATCGCGTCCGACCCCCGAGACATATCAGGTCCGATTATATTTCTTGAAGGACGCCGGATCCTCAACAAGTTCGGCCATGAGAGCCTCATACTAAACATGAAGGGGTCTTCGTAAAAGCCCATCTCTAATCAAACATCCCCTCTGTCTTCTCTTACCTGATTAGATATGGACTAGTAATCATTAATGAAAAATGTTGATCAATACTGCTTCTCTTTTGATTTTAAAATGTGCTGCTCATTTACAATTACATTAATTATCGTGAATGTTTATGTTTTAAGAATATGTAAAATGCTTGTTAATTAATCTTAGTATCACTCAAGGGCCAGCGTCCGAGGCTTATGAGAAACTTCGTTTTGATGCTTGTTAATTAATCTTAGTATCACTCAAGGGCCAGCGTCCGAGGCTTATGAGAAACTTCGTTTATGTACATATTTACTCCAATTTCACAATTCAATGTTTTGTAAAATATGTAACATTTAAATGTTATTATATTACTTATGCATTGTTGTACGATATTAACATATTTTTTTACCTCTATGCATGTCATCAAGCAGCTCAACCACTGCCTCGATCCGTATTCTGAGCCATATCATTTATTGAATGTTCACACAAATATCTGTTTTTAACAAGCAGGAAAAAATGCATGATAATTAATTTATCCGTACTAAACAGTGGTGGACCTTACCATTCCGTACCGTTTCGTGATGCAACGCAATAAACCGTAAAAGACCGTGCTAATCCTTGCCTCTCCGTAGTACAGCGTATTACGATCGTGGCTTTCCGTGATAATGCCGTATTAATCCGTATTAAAACCGTAGCTTATACGTAGGGTAACCGTACAAATACGTAGTTCTCCGTACCAAACCGTGGACAAGTTGGGGCCTACGAATCAGTACGGACTAGAACGGTTTTCGTACGGACCAGTACGTATCAGTACGGTTTAATACGGACTAATAGGGTTTACGCTACGGTTGATTTTTCCGTAGCAAATTTTTGTGCATGTTCAAAAATTGTCAAGGATTGCTACGGATATACAAGGACTACTACGATTGATCACGGTTACAATACGGAGAGCTACAGACCAGTACGAGTAACTACGGACGATGCCGGAATTAATCCGTGGCTCTTCCGTAGGCGTTTTCCGTGAATATGTGACCGGGGTATAATTTCATATTAACATGTATCTCACATTGCCTATGTCACAAAAAGGATGAAAGTAAATTTATTTCTTATAATGTTAAATAAATGCTGAAAATGATGTTGAAAATTGTGGGTACAACTCTTTTTTTTCTTTATATGAATCATCACATTTGCAAAGATGATAAAGTTTGGAAAGCACAGATATATTCAATAATAATGCATTATAATTTTAATTTAACTATTTAACTATATAAGTAAGTTTTTAATCTTTAATTCTCAAAACTTTAATATAAAAAAAAATGTGAAAAAATAGAAATTACATTTTCGTAAATGTTGACGAATTTATAAATGACACACAGTATGCGTTTGCTTCATAACTCTTGTAAAATTCAACAAAATTAAGTTGCGTATTTTATTTCTCATAACAACAGACTAGCTAACATTAAACAAACCCAGGAAAGTCACTTAATGCTTCAAAATTTCAGACAAAGTCTCCAAACAGACACCAATCTACAGATAAACACAAATAAAAAATATTGATCATGTTAATTTATTACACCATTTTTTATTTTCAGGGAGAGAATTAGAATAGCGTGAATCATTACAAAAAGACATATGAAGTCATAATGTTTGGCTGTGAAACTTGTCTGGAACGGTTATAAAAGCGTGTCTGGATAGAGCGAGTTATGTTAATCAAAGAGCCATGCATTATTTATTTTGGCTACTAAAACACCTATTGCTTTTAAAGTAACGCAAAGACGTTAGTCTGTAACCCCAACATTACATAGAACATTGTTCCAATCATCTGACAGTTATAGTACATCAACCTAAAACAATGTCACGATAACTCACATCTTCTCGATAAAATAATGAGAAAAAAGTGTCGCTTTTGTTATGTAATAAATATATTACAGTCAATAAGAAACCTTTCTGGATGTATCTTAGCAATAACATCACGGTTGTCAATCAGTCAAAGACCAAAAGACCAGACAGTTTTAATTTTTTTTTTTTTTTTTTTTGGCATGTGTGGGGGGGGGGGGGGGGGGATAATAGTACAGTAGGACAGTCACCATGACTTCTCTATGATTAAACAAAACTTACGAACGGTGGAGGGAAGTTCAAATTTGATCTGGATTTTATTGACAGCAAACTCCTGAAGGGCTCACACAGAGGGTACCTATCAGGAGTTATAAAATTCAGATTATATGACGCCTCTCCAGATAATTAAACGGGGTGGAGAAATATCCTCAGTTCTCCTTCCTCCCATTATTTGGAGCATTGAAATGCTAGCATGATAGTGGTCTCACATAAAAGATTATCTAGTCTCTGTTGGTATTTGATCCTACAGAGCTAAGGGTCAACAGATTCAAAGTCATGGACATTATCAGCCATGGATTAGCTTCGGCATCACATGATGATGATCACTGATCATAAGTTCACTGAATTATTGCAGTGTTGAAAGAAATAACATTCATTAGAACTTTGTGCATCTACTTATTTAAACATGAATTTGTGTATTAATATAGCCATGACTACATGCTAACAGATTTCCTGTGGATATGTTATAATTGAACAATGTTCCGTATAATGCAAACTGTAATTTGAATTTGAATTATAAATCAAGTTCACCGATCCGGAGAGAGGATTATACAATCCCATAGTTTTACGCTCCATATGTGGGCTGAAGCTTTAAAAGGGAACAGGAAATGGAAAAGCCATTGAAATTCAGCCGCTGTCACATGTTGTCTTTTAATGTTCATTTCCACGTCTTGTACCAGTCGCACAATTTACATGCATTAACGCATTTCGCATGCAATATTACAATGTAAGCACTCAGTGTAAAAGACAAGTCTCGTTATTCGGTGAAATACGACAGCATTTGGCGACATTGATGGAATTGAATATCTTTAATGATGTCAAAACCGTTTTTAAGTCAGAGACAGTTTGCTCCATTCTACGCAGTTTTTTTACGAACATTTGGCACAAAGTTTAATATCTGTTGCATCAAAGGGGTTAACAATTTTATGGCAAGGACAATAGAATTTACTGCAAGGACAATAGTAGTTACCTGAGTTATAAAATTAATGACAAATACAATAACTAGGGTAATTAATTGTTTGAAGTATTATAGGAAAAAAGGAATTTTTTATGAATCGACCAGCATAATCAATATCGTTATTATCATCCATCTTCTCTTAGAGAATAATAATTCATGTAATAAATCGTGACAAAACCCACATTTTACTTTATTGATTATTCATAATTCTAATGTTCCAGTTACTTTTCATTAATGGTGTGGGGATAGGCCTGATTCATTATTCATACACCCCTGCCAGTTTTACCTGCTTAGTAAGGCCTGAAAATGCTGGACTTGTTACTAATTTGCCTGGTAGATGGTACAATAAAATCAATAATATAGTCTTATAATTCTCTATAAACTGTGTTGCTTTAACAGCACTGGAAACACCTGTGACTTAATATAACAAAGGGACATGTATGTCGATATTGAGTACAAAAAACATGTTTTCTTAAAAAAAATCAAATTTGGCATCAATTAGCAAATCTTTTAGCCACAAAAATCTCAAAAAATGTTTCCGTTTTGAATGTGACATTACCAAAATCTGCATGCAAAAGTGCTTTTTCATATACCTACATTTTGGGAGAAAAACTTGACAACACTTCCCTTAGTATACAAAACAATCTATTTTTCTCTTGTCTAAAATAAAGTAGCTCATCACATCTAAAACAAAGTAGTTCATCACATAGACTTACAGTATTTCATCTTACATTAGGAATACAAACTGTAAATGCTAATATATTAGAAATACAATCACATCTTGCAGGAAATGCCTTATTTCCAAATGTCCCCTTCAGGTTTCTTCTCAAACATTTTGCTTTGTATAACAATGCCTCTTTAATATGAATAAAATACTTTCAGCCCACCTTCATTTGAACACATTTTGCTATGGTTACCAACTTTCTCTGATACAGAAATTACACAAAATACCTTTTCAAAACTAAACTGGGTGGAATTAATATTTCGTAATGCAGCTGGCATTCAAACCACTGTATTTGTAAAGGCTTTTATATTTTTCAAAATCCATGGCATTTATAATGTTTAAACTAGGACAGAATATATAATTCTTATTCTGTCCCGGTTTTAAACAAAAATCGAAGTACTATAATTCTATTGAAATATCATACTATAAACAGAGAGCTCTGTAATACCTAACCTGAGACTGACCATTATTTGTTATATACGGACAGATATAAGATGTATCACAAACAAGGAGATATTTGTCTTAGATGAAATACAAACAAATATCTGATACTGTCACTAGCTGTACAAGCAATATTTCATACTTAATAATCTTAAATAAACAGTATCATTCTACTTATATATCCCTTATATTGTGAAAGTATTTAAGGGGTAAAGATGTTACTAAGGGACGGGGAGGGGGGGGGGGAAGGAAGGGGTATGAGGATGACCTGGATCCTTGCAGTGACTTTATAATAAATTAAAATACACTTTATAATAGTCTGAGTAATTCTAAATGACATAATTTTATTGCAAAATGACCAAAACATGATATCATTTAATTATACAAAGCCTTTTCTTTGCTTTTCTGAATAAAAAATCAACAACAAAACAAAGAAATTACAAAACCTGTGTGTTGAATTATTTTAAAAAAATCATGCAACCATTTATTTAAGTTCATATCATTTTTTAATTGTTATATATTTTTTTTATCTAAATACCTTTAATAAATTAACAGAATTGTTAAATACATGTCCACACCTGTAAGGGTGTTATTGGTACAACCTTTGGCTCAGTGGTCTTAGAGCACACAGTGTATATATTATGTTAGCAGGTGACTGCCAGTTCAAATCCCACTCAGAGCAGGATTTTGTCCTATAAATTTTGGTGACTCTGACTTGAAAGTTTATACATGTACAGAGGTGGTAAAATAATATCAAGACTATAGTTATGTAGGTGAATAATTATAATAGTTATTGTTTTATTGCAGTCACTCATCTTTAATTAATACCCATTTAATGTAAATGACAGGATGCAGATCACTATTTGATGAGTTTGTAACAAAAATAATAGCTTAAAGGCACATTAAGTATCAGAAATGAATAATTGTTTAAAGGGAAAACACATGTTTTATACTGATTTATAATGGATTTAAAGCTTGTTTCATAATTTAGTATCACTTGAATTAATTGTTGGGCTGAATTTGAAATAATTTGTCGTTAAAATAGCAAAATGTAAACAAAGTGGCATTTGACTTCCATTTCAAAATACTATTAATCACTATAACTGTACTTATTGCCAAAATGTAAAAAAGCTAAGGATGTTTTATCTGTATAGCTAGTTAGTATATTTTTTTTGGAAACTGTAATAATTGGACACACAAAAAAAGGTTTTGAGGAATTTTTTTTTTTTAGCTTAATGGGCCTTTAAACAAATATATGAGGCAAACTCACTTCTAATGATTATTAACTGTAATACTCACTGTGGTAATAAAAGTATGACCATTATATAATACTAAATAAAATAATTATCAAATTGATTATTTATATAATATAAAAACAAATATAACTTGTGGTAAACAACACTTAATATATCCTTAAAAAACATTAAGCATTTGATCAAAAGAATACGATTTGTAAAATTTTATGACTTTATTAATTTAATAATAATAATATACTGTTTTGTTCTACAAAGAAAGTATAATAATTGACAAGTATGACAAAGACACCAACATAAAATCTTACCGTATAAAGGTTGTAAACAGCAGTCCCACTTTTACTTTAAATACATCCTTTTTAACTAAGATTAACTAGTTAATGATAAATCATTTGTAATTTCCACGATTTCCAATCAGAACAATATATCTATCACTCATTTGTCGTAATCAGTTTTTACACTGTGCCGATGTTATCACGAGAAAAGAACCAACGCCCATTTCAGTGCTATAGACTGGTTAACTTATAGATATATATATACAATATCGTCAATATTTGGTACGGAAGCTGCCTTAGCTTTAATGAATGTGAAAGTCAGTGTATATGATACACGCAAGTATTGATTAAATCGTGTACAGGTAACACAGGTGTGTCATCACTTATTGTAGCAGACGTCAACAGTTATTGTTAGCAGACGACACTGTCAACTCACTCTCTTTTGTGACAGCAGCTGGCGATATTGAAATAAGGCTATTTAGCATTAAAGATTTTCAATGCATTTAGCATTAAAGATTTTTGGCGAGAACTTTTTTGGCTATTTAAAGGCAATATTTATTGATGATATTTTAAAAAAAATAAAATAGTAAATAAAAATTTCTTTTTGTTTTATGAGTTTCTTTTGGATGACATGATTTTATATATATGTATATAAAACCCATACAGGTAATACGTATTATAATTAACTGAAGAAGAATAAAAACTTTTTTTCCAAAATATTATTAATAAAATACTTTTTTACATAAATTATGGATAAAAGATAAAAATACATGTGATATGAATAGTAAATATATTTGATATAAATAATGATAATTTATCATGTTTATATTTTCTTAAAGTAAAAATGAATGTGAAAATTATAGAAATAGAAGTTTTTAAAAGTGATACCAAATTCTGTATAATCAATAAACAGTCAAAATTCTGATCAAAGTTTTATATGAATAAATATGGTATGTACAGTTATAATTTTTGGTTATCTTTCTTTTAAATGATTTGTAGAGGTCATGACTTATAAATGGCAAAAATAACACAAATATCTTTAGTTGCGTCCAAAAATACATTGTCACCACCAAACGTTTCACTTCTTTAAGTGCTTGCACATGTTACAGAACGACTTCATAAGCAGGTTTTATACATTATACTAAATTAACTGTTTTATCGGTAGCAAACAACTCAGTTCCACACTGGAACCCTTTTTTCACTTTTCAAAATCTCAAAACATTACATATGTTTTAGACCAGTCAGCTGTCATCCTTTCCAACCCACTGAGGAAATGAATTTACATATAAGTCTTGGACTTGTTTTCAAATCCTCTTCCGAATTTAATTAAGTTAAAATTTCTTTAGCACTGTATATCTTTAACTTATATCATCAGTCTTTCATGTATTTTATCATACAATGTATTCTGTTTGTAATGTATATTTATGTTTTGTAAATTCTGGAAATAAATATGGTTTAAACTAAATGGCAAAAAAAAAAAAAAAAAAAAGTTTCTTTTTCTCAAATCTTTAAACAAAGAAATAAAAAAATGTCCAATTTTGTTCAGAGATATGCATTTTAGAATCCTTTCCACTTCAAAACATAGCTTGCCAATGAGATTTGTTCAGAATTTAAATCTTTAAAGGACAGTGACACATTTAGCAAGAGACAGAATTTACAATCTCAACAAAAACTACAAAAATCGATGAAACTAAATAACCAAATTTTTTCTCAAAAACACAGGAAACATAAACAATATTATCTCCAACTCTTCTAATCCAAAAAGTAAACAAACATCACAAAACAAAACTCACCAAAACACCTATTGTAGTGTAAACTTACCGGAAAAAAAAAACAACATTTCACTTAATTTAAATTAAATGGTGATGGATATCAAAGAAATCGCACATTTCTCTGTTGCGAAGATATAATTGAGCCGTGTCACGACAAAACCAACATAATGGGTTTGCGACCAGCATGGATCCAGACCAGCCTGCGCATCCGCGCAGTCTGATCAGGATCCATGCTGTTCGCTATCAGTTTCTTTACTTGTTATAGGGTCTGTAAGCGAACAGCATGGATCCTGATCAGACTGCATGGATGCGCAGGCTGGTCTGGATCCATGCTGGTCGCAAAGCCATTATGTTGGTTTTGTCGTGACACGGCTCATATAGTGAAATTTCATGATAGATTCATAAGATTGTATCATTGACTAATGTATTCACTCTCCACTTAACATTGTGTTTGCTAAACCCTTATTCGGACAAACAAACACATGCAAGGAAATCGATCAATTTCTGAAGTCAAAGTTTGTTATCAAAACTGAATAAATAATGCGAGTAAACAAATTCAAGCAAACAGGGCAAGGAGACAAAAATTGGAGGGAAATAAAAATGTCAAAGACACATTATTATACATTAAACAGACTTCTGACGCAGTACTATTGTTTCCTTATTTGTTCCTGTTGGATTGAAAAGTGAGAAGAAATATAGAGATACATTTGGTCAGTTTTCATACACAATTTGAAAGGGTTTTTTTTTTCAAGGGGGATTACTCAAAAGCCTATTCAGATATTTTTTTCAAGGGGGATTACTCAAAAGACTATTTAGATTTTTTTTCAAGAGGGATAACTGTTTGAACAGTTTATTGAAAATGCTGGGCCTCTTAGAGGCATCAGTCACATATACAATAATATACATATAATATGAAATATCATAAAAGCTCGATAAGTGTTTTCAAGGGGGATCAAAATTATGTCCCTTTGTATCAATCAAGTATTCTTTTTTATTTCTAGGAATACTTATCTGTTAGATACAACCCTAAATATCTTAAATGGACTTCAAAATATGTGCAGACTGAATAGTGAACAGTGCAGACCATGATCAGATGGCAAGGATAAGCATTTCAATCATGGTCCCCACTGCTAACTTATCAGTCAATATCTACTTTGGAGTTCATTTAAAATATTTAGCAGTGTAGGTACTGACTGAAAAGTAAACAGTGCAGACCATGATCAAAATTGGCAAGGATATGCTGGCTTATCTTGGTCTGCACTGGTCACATGACTAGAATCTACTGCCGTCTGCAGGCTAAAAGTTTATGTTAAAATATTTATAAAATATAATATTATATATATCATTATTGAAACTAAAAAATAAATTATGTATGAAGTATAAATCAAAAAGTAAAATGTTATTTGACAGGAATATAATTGTTTTCATTAACTAATTAAAAAATATATCGTATTTTTCGTTTCTTCCAAAATCTTAAAGTTGTGAAAGTTAATATTCTTTTTTAAAAATGGTTATATAAACATGCACTACCTCTTTATATTCAAAATCACTTAATTCATAATCAAGTCTCACTTTGGTATGTATGTAATTCATAATTAAAATTTAATTTTATTAATTCTTGAATGAAAATAAACAGAAAACATATCGACTTACTCAAATAGTTAAAACTATTTATTTCCATTTTAGTTTTGTCTTAATGAATAGCATTACACCTTTACATGTTTATTCATTCTACTGACCCACAGACATAGATATTCTAACAATGCGCCAAAACATTTTAAGTTTAACATTAAGCCCCCATCTTTTATTTGTTTACAATTTCAAAGTGTTTTCAAACAGACTGCCACAATGATTAGTCATGTGTTAAAATATACAAATTAAATTGTTAAACAATTTTTTGTCACCGTGAATGATAGTTTATCAGATACGAAGTTAGCAATAAACAATACGTCTTTTGACAAAGTTACTTCATCCAAGGGGCACGTCGGCCAATATGGCAGTTTGTAAATTATTAAATATTCAAAGGTTTCGTGATTAAAGTGGATAATCTCATCAAGAGCCGAGTGATGATAGATCGTTGGACGTTTGACACAGGAGTATCATATCGCCGACAGATCGGCACTTTGCATGCAATGTATCGTGGGTAATTGTTGAATTGTTGAATAGGAGGGCTTATCTCTCATAACCACTACGGATAATTAAATACAGTAATTAATTAAGAATGTATACCATAATAGCAATGACCAGCGTTAATTAATGACAGTTATAAATTAAATATACCACAGTGAAAGTCATTTCGTAATTCAAAATATTATGGTTAACATATTTATATATATTCAACAGTTCTGTTCAAACATTTAATAAAAAAATCAATTTAAAAATAAACCTTGAAAAATAAGATTTTAAACTAGAATTCCAGTTAAAAAAACTACTTTACCTGATTATCATACTTCATTCATACATATTTTGCGGTGTTTTTTTATAAGCAACATGCCTCCAGATTATAACGCTAAATTTAATAAAAAATTTCATAAATGTATTTTGAAGAAAAATATTGTGAAATGAACAAGGAAAGTACTTAACACATTGTCAGTTGCACTAACAATCAATGTAAATTGCCAAAACGAGGTCAAAATATACAAAAATGGCCCTTACTACATTAGTCACGCAGCAGAAACATGGCGATGAATAATTAATCGCACAGAGCATGTAAATTATTACTTGAATCATGAATCTTACACTTCGCTTAAAATCTTAGTGCATTTTCCTCAAGTTTGATTTTCTTGAAATACTTTGGCTCATCTGGAGACATGCAGCTTTAAGATATGGTATATATTGGCTCGGGATCTCAATGGATTGTAATATAATACTATATAGTAGACTTTCTGTATGGCATTTTATGACAAATAACGACTTAAGATCACATCGTATATACTTTCTGAGGCCATGAAAATCTCCAATAAAACATGCAGAATGACAATCTCCTCATTATATCAACATAGTCAATGATTTCAATAATTTATCTATGAATAAAACATTGCTAATGCTTTAGATAAGTGAGCCTGAAAGCTCTACATCATCGTCCAAGCATTTGTGAGGATCATACAATCACCCGTAGGTCACTCAAGGTGAAAGGTCAGTCAGCTGAGATGATTGGACACATCAAACACCATGGAAATGACTAAATTAAGCACAACAAAGCTATAATTTCCATTTATAACCCGAGGAACTATGACACAGGGTGAGGGACACCTGTTTGTCACAAGTAACGCCCAATTAAAGCACTAATTGGACAGTTTTCAACACTAACAAAGGGTAAATTTGATGTATAAGATCTTTATGATTATCAGTGTTTTTGCTTTATTGGTCTTGAGGCTGTTAGCCCCATCACTGAGGGAATTCTACACAAACAGTGCTAGCTGGGATGCGAGATGTTGCATTTTTTATTATCAATTACATGTACCATTAAAGTATTGAATTGAATAGTATCGAACAATCTGATATATTTTCAGAGTCAATCACTATGAAAACAAATACAGTAACTGATTTAAAATCCATTATAAAAACCCTACTTTTATAGTTGACATATTCATTGTCAAAAGTTACTTAAAATGACAAAATACTATTCAACAAGGAGGAAACAGAAGTCCTAGCAGTTCTCTAAAGCTTAGAATAGATT